AATTCATTTTTTAAAATTAAAAGGACTAATTTATAATTTACTAAACAAATTACACTATTTCTCCATAAAGAGAGAGAGAGAGAGAGGGAATATTACACTATCTTTGTACTTTTTTATATTTGAACAAATCACATCTTTTATTTTAAATTTGGTTGAATCAATCCCTTTACTTCTAATTAAAGGCAATCTCAAACCTTATATCATGTTATTTTAAAATAAGTGGTATTAATTTAGCCATTTAATTAGTAAAACAGGAAGATGAAGCGGGCCAAATCACCTTTAATGATAAACAGATCAAAGATTGCTTTGGCAAACAAAATATAAAATAGAGAGATTTGATTTGATTTGGTCAAATGTAAAAATTTGAGATGCAAATGATATGATGTCAGAAGGAAATGAAGGACATGTAGTGAGTAATGTGTTTGTGAGTGAGAAGTCTGGAAAATCAAATTTTATAGTTATGGATGTCAAGTCTCCAAATCTAGACTATTGCAAATGTTAAACCTCTTGGACGTGTTCCGTATCATTTTCGCAGTCTAATAGTTTGTCCAATTGGTAATTACAGGGAGGAAATTGAGGAGGAACTGGAGTCTCAGCCTTCTCAACAATTGAACTTCCTAGCTTAGGGAAATTGATGGGGGGAGGGAGGCTCAACATAAAATAATTTTAAATACATCAATATTTATTTTGAAAGTCTTAAATATAAAATGTATATATAGTTTTTTTTTATAAATCTCTTTGTTTCTCAAGTGCATCCAATGTTAATTGAAATTAATCAACAAAACAAACAAAATTTAATTTCAAATCAAAACAAAATTAATAATCAAAATTAAAAAAAATTCTTTCATTGACTGATAGGTCAGTTACTTTACATCCAAATAGCCATAATTATAACCATTTCCGTTTGAATCGTCAGAGCTCTAGCCATCTGTTTGGTCAAATCGGCAAAGGTGCGTGCCTTCCAATTCCAAATCGTCTTGTCCTTTAAACGGAAGAAAAGGAAATAAGAGTAAATTATAAAATAGTTCCTTTAGTTTCAAAATAATAATAATAATAATAATAATAATCCCTTTTATTTCAAAAAATTTTAGTTATATTTAAATTTAATAGTATTTTTATTTTATAAAATATTCATCTTTTAATCAATTTTTGCATGTTTTTACTTTTTTTTTTATTAGATTAAAGGTCCAAAATATCTCTTTATTGTTTTATCTGTCTTAATTTTTTCAATAATTATATCCATTTACTCTTAATTTGCATCTTAATTTTATCTTTATGCCTCAACTTGTTGGTAATCGTATCAATTTTCGACGATAGATCTATAGAATGTTGACATGTAGTATTTTAAAAAAATTAAAAATTAAAAATTCTGGAAAAATGAAAAATATAAAAATAAAATCCTAAAATGGTCATCTTTTTTGCTATCTTTATGTATAGAAATAAATAATTCATTTCATCTTTTTTTTTCTTTCTTTCAAATTCTCAAGAAAAAAATAAAAAATCTCAAAATGCCATCTTTTTCTCTACTTTTTGCTTTTGTTCTTATGTTTTTTTTTTGTTGGATTTGAAATAAATAAAAAAATTTTGCTTCTCTTCTTACATATACACAATTTTTTTTATTTGAAATTGAGAAAAAGAAAAAAAATTAAGGAATAAAATTAATCATGTATTTCTATATATAAGGATAGAGGAAAAAAAAAGGGAACATTTTTGAATTTTTATATTTTTTCTGATTTTTTAAGGATTTAAAAAAAAATTTCAGATTTTTTTTTTGAAAAAAAGGAACAAAATTAACATACAAATTAAAAATAAAAAGACACTATTATTGAAAAAATTGCTGAAGGAACACAATTAAAATAATAGAAAAACATCCTAAACCTTTTTAAAAACTTTATTTGTCAAAACAATAAATGAATAAATAAGCACCATTTTTTTCCCCTCAAAGTGTGAAACATTACGCGGCAAATATTGCATATCCAACACATGGCTTATCAGCAGTCGCGCAATGCAGAAGCTCAGGAGGGAAAAAAGAAAATCCCAAAAAAAAAAAAAAAAAATTTCACCAACGCAATTATACGATAAATTAGATGTCATGACATGAGTTGTTGTCGTTATTAGCAATAATCGATGAAAGAAATGAGTAAATTATAAATTGATCCTTTTTGTTTTAAGAAGCAAATTAATTAATCTATTTCATTCTAAAAGCTAATCATTTACTCTTTATGTTTTAATTCAATTTATAATTTAGTTATCTCATCAATTTTTTTTATTAAATTTACGATTTGATTTCTAAATTGTTCTCTTTTTTATGTCTTATATATTTTCTTCTTTATTCATCCTTTCTCTTTCTTTAATAAAAAATAATAAAAAAGATAATTTATAAATAAAAATTACTAATATAACAAAAAAAAACTAATGGAAAAATAAGTTATTCAGTGAATTAAAAATTAAAAAACTAAATATTAATTTTTTAAAAAATATATATTAATTAATTAGTTTTTTTTAAATAAGAGGGACTAATTTCTAATTTACTCTTAAAAAATATGCTTCCCTATTTGATTTTTTTTTTGTTTTGAAATTTCAAATCAGTATGAAAATAAATTTTTGTTAATGTACTAAATTAAAAAATTAAATTTTTATTAATTTCTTTTAATATATATACTGACGTAAAAAAGTGTTTAAAAGATCATCCTGATAAAAAAATTATTCTCCAAAAAAAAAAACAAAAGAGAGAGAGAGAGAGAATTCAGAATCCGTCATGTCAAAAACGAATAAAGTAGAACAGAGAGAATTCCTCTTCAATCCAAAAGCCAATGGGTCGGCATGTCCAAGTCACGCGCCAGCGGTTAGATTTGCCATCGGCATTACAAATACATTTAAAAATTAAATAATTAATTTTATAAATAAAATAAAAACTAATCTGTCAGAACTACAAAAACTAATTTATAATTTACTCAAGATATGGCCCTATAAGTCATCAAATAAAGAAAAGGCGCAGGTGCTACTGCAAAACAGTGTGCAGCAAATTCCAAACTCCTCTCTTCTAAGCCTATGTCTGCATCTTTTCATTGGAAGTTTTTCTTATTGTGGAGAGAAAATCAGATTACCGTATTATAATCCTAACCAAGGTATTGCATGAGCGTCGAAAATTTGGAAACAAATGATATGCACATCACAAGCAAAACAGAAGAAATTCTATTTGCAAGAACTTTATTATGTATACATTACTTATACATTACATGACTACATAACGACACCAAAACTTTCAACCACCCAAAAAAAAAAAAAAAAAAAAAGACAAGACACAACTGAAACACACACTCCAGCCAAGATAGATCGAAAAACAATTAATTAAGCACCATGTCAATTTTTTTTCAGCCAGAGATTTCAATAGCCTTGACATCGGGTTTCTTGACTTCCTCCTTGGGTACGGTGATAGTAAGAACTCCATTCTCCATAGACGCCTTGACCTGATCCATTTTCGCATTCTCAGGCAGCCTAAACCTCCTCAAGAATTTGCCACTGCTACGCTCCACACGATGCCATGTTTCATTCTTATCTTCCTTCTCCACATTCCTCTCTCCACTGATTTGGAGAACCCTCTCATCTTCTACCTCCACCTTCACTTCCTCCTTTTTAAGCCCAGGAAGGTCTGCCTTGAAGACATGAGCTTCTGGGGTCTCTTTCCAATCAATGCGGGTGTTAACAAAGGCTGAATTTTCACGAGAGATGAGTGAATTAGAGGAAGTGGAGGGTGGGAATTCCTTGAACGGATCCCAACTGTCGAAATAAGAGAATGGATCGAAAGCGCTGCTGCCTCGGCGGTTGCCAAAAAAGCTTGGAATCATTGCCATCTTTCTCTTGTTTTTCTCCTAAAAGAATCGTCTACCTTAATTGGTTGCTGTGAATTTTGATGGATACCTCCTTGTTTTTCGATTTTCTTGATGTTAAGGGACAGACAGGTTGGATATTTATAGTACGTAAAGGAGACATCTCGTCTCTTCTGAAAGACCAGCAGTCACTGAATCCGGAAAATTCCGGGCCCAGCAGCGGATGAAAGTGGAAGATCGACGAACTTTCTCGTAATTCCTGAATCTCTCTGGTTGAGAACGGGCAGTGTTCAATTGGGTTCAGTTTGAACGGGCTTAAGCCTGTTTCTTCTTTCCTTTATGGGCCCAGTTTGTATGTTTAAACTTCTTTTCCCTTTCCTTTCTTTTTCTTAATCAAATTTATTTTGGGATTTTTTTTCCTTTTTTCCCTTGATAGTATAAGCTAAAGGAATAGTTTGCTTTTAGAAACAGGGGGAAAAAAATATTGCAAAATACGTTACCGAAGACACTAAGTTTTAAGACTATTGATTATCTTATCTGTATCAGAAAAAGAGAGGAGAGAGAGATTTGCTCTTTTAATGATTTCACGTGATTTTCATGTCTATTTAATTTGTTCAGATAATTTCCGTTTTTTTAAAATAAAAATAATTATATATGATTGTTAAAAATTGAATTTAATTTCACAATTAATATCATGCATGATAATTTCAAAAGAACCATAATTTTTTTTTTATTATTATTATTTTTTTATATAAACTCACAACCTAAGACTTGTAACAGAACTAGTATGTTAAGATTTTAAGATTTGAAACCATAACCTCTTATTGTAAAATACTACTATTATTAGACTACAAACTCTTTAGTTTCTATGTTTACAAAAATGGGATTTTCCACACTTATAATAAAGGAAACCAAATAATAACGAGTCATGCTTCCTTCCATCTCCATCAGATTAACCCGGATGGGTATGGCCATATCGGACCCAAATACAATATTTCAAACTTGTTTCTAATCATGCTTCTCGATGATTACGAGAACACCAAATCAATCTCATGAAGTTCATGCAGGTATAGGGATATCTGGATGTACACTGCTTAACAAAAATCATCTTGCATTCTTTTTTTTTTTCTAACTATATAGGGTAGCTAAACAATCAACATTTCCTCGAACTTAAATTCGTCGTTTCTTCTTCTCTGGAGTTGCATGTACTTGCGCCTTAATCCCATACGTTTTTAATTGGAAGTTTTCAAAAGCCTCAGAGATTGCTCCTACCTGTTACATGATGTTTAGGAAAAGAAATGTAACTGGAAATATAGTAAGGTTAGGCAGTCATTTGCAATCAAACTATAACGTTATTTTGATCTCAAACCAGTTCAGGCTTTTTGGAGTAGACTCTGACTATCATATCTTGAAAACACGTAGGCAGCAAGTGACTGATGCGATCGTCAGGTATGGAAAATTTTTCTTCACTCTCATAATCCTGAACAGAAGAGAGAAGAAAAAGAAATAAAACCATGTGTACAAAATTGAAAATTGTATGGATTCGTCTTGTAAACATATTGTAATGTTGAGTTCCACTCTAATTCTCTCATAAAAGTTCATCCAATTGAATCTTTTAGATGATAGAAACTCCTGCAATGATGATAACAGAGTGAAAATGGCATCAACTTTGAAATTTATTTTCATTTGGAGAACTAGAAGCAATACAAGTTCTCAGACTGAAGCTCCAGAATCCATCAACAAAGAGAGCTGTTTTGGTCAGTCATCAGCTTCTGATAAGATGTAGTAAAATTTAAATGAAGCAGTGAGTTTTTACCGTTGGAGCTACAATTGCCCACTGTAACACCAAGGTTTAAATCACAACAATCTGCCTATCGGCAAGCACACAACAACCCTTAATATGCATGATACCTTTGCTTTAGAGGGTGAATCGAAGTATGAATAGTTCATTTTAACAGTTCATGTACCAAAGCAATTCATAATAATCTTGTTTTGTATATGCCTATAACTACCTCCTTTGATTTTGCGGGCTTTCCCCCTTTTTGAAACACTAGGCAGAATCGTTAACAAAAATTCCAAATAGTCATTTTAGTGACCAGATGAAATCCAGCTAAAACTAAACCAGAGTGCATGACAGATTGAGGTTAAAAAAGTAGATTTGATTACCTTGAAAAAATTGATTCTGAAGAAGGTTGCATGCCCCAAACAAAGAGAAACAAAATCAGTAGACTGTACTGTTCAACCCAAAATTGCAACAAAAAAGTGATGCCAAGTTCAAGTGTAAAACAGTTTCCCTTCTACTTTCTAAAGTACCTTTCAAGAGGATTACGCCTTCCATGAGTCAAATCAATCCTCACATTGCTTACTGCAACATCCTCTTCCTTCAGCAGCACCCCACCATTTTGCTGCCCAAAATAGTAGCTTATATAGTAGGTGTGCTTAGCGCACACAAGAAAGGGAAATTTGACATACCGAACCCCACAAACATGCACACAAGAAAAAAGGGGCAAAAAAGCACACGCACACACCCATGTTGTATGGAAAAGTTTGTGCGAAGACCTTCATTCTCAAAACATAAAAATGAAAGGTGTCTAAAACCTGGGAACAAACAATATCCTGTGCAGTCACATCTTTGAAATTTTCTATCTTGTCCCTTGGAACGGTGTACTCATTGCAAAACTGCCACAAGGAAAAGACAGTTGCTTAAACTTTACCATTTAGAATGCATCTGAAACCGTAGCATAGATAGCATGCTAGCATCACATGCACTACTGACATAAGATACACGAATTACCATACTTCCTTCAATACAATTAACATAGAAGGGGGAAGACAAATGATAAAGTACTTGTTAAACAGAAAAAGTTCAACTACCTGGTAAAGATTTCTCGTGCGTATGCGCAGGATCAAATTCCTAGATTCTCTTAGTTGTTGGTCTGGAGCTGTCTCAATAGTTTTGATTATTGAATCGTCTAACTGCATTCTCGGTAACGAGCAAAGCATACCATTATCTTAGAAAAGGAAATAAAACCATTTATCCCAACTTCTTATAGAAGACAGCTTTCATTACCTTCCAGTATTCTGAAGGATCTTCTATGTAAGATGAAATTTGCAGATAATCATTTGCTTCTACCAAGGCATCTACAACCATCAGTTCTATAGCCTGCAATAGCATTAACATTAGAATAGCTGCTCTGATCTTCAAATCACATGAGGGAAATGAGCAATAGAACAAAAGATTAGAAGATAATAACTTAAAAGGTAAAGAAAAAGAAGAAAAGAGATGCAGCAGAGAAAACATGTAGGCATGACAGATGCAGATGAAAAATAATACTATTTTCTTTTCTTTTCTTTTTTCTTTTTATTTATTTATTTATTTTGGGATTATAAGGGATATACCACTATAGAAGACGAACAAATCCTAGTTTATACCTTTACTTTTGGGTGCACGTAAACTGTGCGGTAAAGATCCGCACGAGTAGCAAACAACTTATGGACGGTACGATCTGCCAACGTACCCAAAATTAAGAAAATGAAAAATGAAGAAAATAATTAAATTTCTTCATGGATGGATAGAAGATACTAACGCTCCTTGGCACGATAGCAGATCTCATCACCCATAACTCGCATTGTCTCCATCAACCTACAAAATGAAGAACATATATCAATGAAACCAATTCCAATTTATTACTAATTCTTTGCTAGGTAATAAATAGTATCAATGCACTGGCAGCAAAAAAGTTCAACTGAAGGATATTAACAAAAACCTCTGAAACTCAAAACTGCATCCCAGACCACAAGCTCGGCTGTCACGGACAATGTAATCAAACCTGCATATCAACGGTATCATCAATCAAAAGAAGAAATGTAGCATGTAGTTTTTTAATGTAAAATCCTTAAAACTTCACTAACTTGTCCACATCAATTCCATTTCGACCATTCGCAACAATATCATACAAAAAGCGCTTCTCACTGACGTCCTACATATCAAAGCAAACCCTTATATGTAGAAAGTACAACTAAGACGATAAAAACAACATGAACACTTTCAACAAGTTTCTTTCACCACATTTTATCAATATATGTCAACATGATGGAGCACCAAGAAAAAAGACCTTACGTGTTTCGGTGCCGATCCTGAGCTAGCTAGTATCATCTCCTGTAAATAAATGCCAAGGAAAAAAAATATATAAAAATTATGGCGCAATGAAAAAATCATAATGTTTTTTTTTTTCATCCTACAAAATTCATGAACCACATTACTTTATCAAAATGAATTCATCCCTTTTATCAAAATGAAAAAGAAAAAAAAGTAATGAGAACATATAAGGACCAGATTACAATATGGATGTCTAGATGCGAAAAAAATGGAAGCCCCAAAGTATCATCACAGGTGCACACACAAGCCTATAAATTAGTATAGCATGACCTTCCATGCATATCATAACTAGAACTGAGGGCATCGCTTCCATGCATGTGATCTAGAAATACCCAGAGGAGCTTCCAAACACATTAAGCAATTAGAATAATATGAAACATAGTCTATATGGCTCAAACTACTGTCAAAGCATAATTTAGTGACGAAAAAACCCTTCTTAAGCTCCAGTGTTTCTTTAGGAAAGTCTATTTGTACCTTGTCTTTTGATTTTACTTCACACGATTCTCTAACTTGCATATGAATGCTAGTCGCGTATTCAACAAAGATAATGTGAATTGGAATTACAAATAACATCAAATTACCTTAACTTTTCTCATCATTTCAGAGTCAATGTCTATATTGTGCTTATCAACAATATGGTCAACCATTTTTGTTGACATTTGCTCATGCGACCTGGTAAGTATAACTATGTCATAAACAGGTAATGAAATGGTTTTTGAGAGCATATATAGGGGGCAAAAAAAAAAAAAAAAAAGCAGGAAACACATTCAAGATGTGTTACCTTTTATCTATTGAGAAATGATATTTTAAACACTAATATTCAGGAGAAAAAATTCACACTGAGAAAGGAAAGCAAGCAACAGTTCTGTCCATTTGGATTAGTGATTTTTGGAGTATACGTTCAGTATTTAACATATAGTGGCTGGATAGAGTTTAAAAGGTAGTAGAGTTATTGATTAGGAAAAAAGAATTCAAGTAGACTGATTCAGCTATTTATCTCTGGAGTTTTTGCAACATCATTTTCATAAGAAGATGAAAGGAATTTATGGTCAACAAAACATCGATAATTCAATATATCCAACATCATTAAAATTATAATATGGGGAAAATAAAAACAAAGGGAAGAACATTCACAGGGAGAGCAATTGAGGAGTTAAATATTTTATGTTAGTACTTCCATTAATTCAGAGATTCCAAGTGACAACATCCCGTTGAGTTCATTTTAACACTTGTCGATTCTGATTGGCTCAAGATGCTGAATTGGCAACAATTAACTCATTAAATTGTTTTAGTCTTACACCTATATAGATGGATAGATCATAGACATAGATTGATTTCTGGAATGGGGGTCATTTCTCAAAAAATAACCCTCAAGTTTAGGCTTCTGATTCTACAGCATCCAACAACTGAATTGTATAATCACAAGCAAAACGGATATAAATGCATTCTAAGACGTAGAATGTACCATTTTGTGTCATTCATAACCTGTGGGAGAAACTCGGACTGAAACAAGTGACTGAAAGGACCATGACCCACATCATGCAGAAGTCCTACAATTTGAATGAAAAATTACAGAGCAAGAGCCTTAACACAAGATAGCATTAGAAAGAGGCACTTAAAGTAAAACATGTTGAACTACCTGCAAGTTTCACTGTCTGAATATCGAAGTTATCAATACCTAGTTCCAAACCCTACAATTATAAAAACCAAATATGAATATAAAAAAAATAAGTAGAAACGAAACCCAAAATGCTGCAATTACGATGGTCAGTGGAATATAACTTGAGGCTGTTGAGTATAGGTTTATTACCTGGTACTTTTTGAGCATTTGAACAGCTTCACCAGCAAGCCAGTACACGCCGAGAGAATGCTCAAACCTGGAATGCACAGCTCCAGGATAAACCATATGCGCAATACCTAGGACCCACGAAATTCTTAAATCAATTTCTAATTTTCATAATTAATTAATAAATACGCCGATTTTCACGCTTTCTTTCTTTCTTTTTTTTCATTTTCGTCAGAGAACACAAAACTCACCGAGTTGTTTAAGGTCCCGCAGCCTGTAATAAATAAACAAACAAGCATCAAGAACAATTGCATAATGCAGAAAAACAATTAAATGAAAAAAAAAAAAGCAGAAAAACCTGCCTCTGAAACTGCTCGGTATCAATGAACTTCAAAGAGAGCTACAATCCAAAGAAAACAATAGTTAAAAAAAAAAAATGAAAAGGCAAATAGGGAAAACAGGAGCTTCGGTACCGGATCGAGGTAAATGTTGCCGTGGACATTATCGTGAACGTGTTTTGATAATCTGGTATTGTCGAAATCGGAAATTGGAGATAAGGAGAATTTTTCATTGATAGAAGCTCCCATTTTCTTCACTCTTCTTTACTTCAGTAGAAGAGAAGAGGAGAGAGACTAACTGGCGGTTTTTTTTTCTTTTTTTTGAATTGTAAAGCGACGAAGCACTGCAGAATTTAATGTAATACTCTGACGGAGTCTGGCACTGATGGGAATTTGGGAGTCCTGGTTGCCATGGGTGGTTTTATTTTATACAAGTGAAAGGATTTGTTGGCGAATGGGCCGAGCCTGATATGCTAATGACAGTTTGGGCCCTTTGCAAGGCTTGTAATGAAATCCAGCCTGGTGGTCAAGGAACTACAAACGTGAAAATATTTAAAATTCCAGATTGTAAAACTGTTTTTTGTATGTACTACAAAATTTACCGATCAAATTATTATAATTGATAAAAAAATGTATTGATAATTATATAAAAAATGGTCAAATATATATTTATCAATTAAATTATTATAATTAATAAATGATGTATTGGTAATTGTGTAAAAAAATGATTATATATATATATATATAGTTGCAATGATTATTATATATCACAATTTATTACTATAATAAAATAATAATTATAATAACTCATATTACGTGTGAATAAATTTATCACAATAATAAAATAATAATATAATATAAATTGATATTGCAAATACTTTAAGTATGATTAATAAATTTATTTTAAAACAAAAAAATTAAAATAATTTTTTATTTGATGTAATCATTATTATTGTCAATTAGATTTTTTACAACATTATATAATAGAAATTGACATATCAAATTTGTTAAATAAGGACCGTCATGTTATGTCATCTAAAAATAATTATTTATAACTATACATATATAATATAAGTTCGATTCAAATTATTTATAATGAATCGGCACTTCCTTTCTTCCCAACTCGTTCTCCCATTCGATTTTGATTTTGATTTCCAATTGATTTAATCCACAATTTTAAAGAAACTCTTCAAGTTGCGTATATCAATTATGATAATGTAACTGCTGCAATAATGGCCTTTTAATCGTAAACTCTAGCAAACAAAGCTGGCTGATGACTTTATCCTATTAGACAGAAGGTCATGTTATCGTTGTAAAGCATCCAGACCGTTTGTAAATCAAATAAATTACTAATCCCAAAGTTCAGAAAGAAAATATGGGCAGAAGATAGAAGCAAGACAAGAAAGTTTATTAAAAACCTGTTATTTTACATGGCACATTGAACGCTTATGCCCACGCTAACAGGGAGACCAAAGAAGCTTGGAATCATAAACTCTTATTAAAAATGCGGCTGCCTTGTCGTTTGTCAAAGAAGCTTGGAATCATTGCCACTTTTTCTTCTTCCTTTACTAGATAATTGTTTTGTTTGTTGGGTTGCAGTTTTTCTTGATAGGTACATTGGCAGAATTACAAATATTTTAGTGGGTGTCCGTGTCCCCACAAAACTACAATGATAGCTTGAACATGATTTGAGCTAAGAAAAAAAATCTGGAGAAAAATTTCTTTTATGTTGGGTTAGCTAAGGAGGTAAGTTTATAGATATTACCCAAAAAAAAAAAAAAAAAAATTAAAAATCAATTATAAAAAAATTGGTCAATTTTTGCACATCAGGAACATGGGAGATAAAGGAGAAACGATAGATGTTGAGTATTTTTAAACTCACATATGAGTTTTGGATGATTGGGAATCGAGTTGTTTAAGATTTTCTGATTCTTGCAAAGACAAGACAGGTTTAAATACATCCAAGAAGTAAATGGCTCCGTTTTTTGTCATCGAATGCAGGCATATGAGCTGAGTTTTCAAGGTAATAGTCGTCTTGTGCAAAATTTTCAAGGCCAACACTCTAATTGACATCTCTTGGTCGAAGTGTTTCCTTCATGGTCCTTTGTCTAAAATTGAATGAAATGAATGTTGCAAAATTGGTCGGAAGTCAATGCATCCAGCAATCTCTTGTTATTACATGCCTGGTCATTTTTAATATTTCCAAGTCATGCTATATTGATTGCCGTAGCAATGATGAAAAGGTTACAAACTGTGACGAGCTGTTGCCTGAGATTGTCCATAAAACTTCCAAACTTTCTCCATGTCAGTGCTATGACACATTGAACTCTGGCTTGATCCATGATGAAAGCAATCATAAGCAGGTTTTGAGTTGGTTCAAGGAACTCGATGCTGATGATCACGATGAGTTGCTCAGAGAGCTGTCTAGGAAAGCCTAGATGATTTCAATTGTAAGGAACTCTCAAGGGAAAGCCAGGAAGACTTGAAGGTCGAAAGATTTGAGCACCTCTACAAAAATCTTCCTTGTAGTTCCTAATGGAATATTTTCGGGTGGAAAGTTGACGCTAAATATCAAGCTTATACAACAAAAGATCTGCTTGCAGTGATTGGCTCAGATTCTGATGGCGATCAAGGCAATCAACATCAAGAAGTTGAGTTAGATGCATATGACGAAAATAAGTCTCTGCAGAAGTTTGGCACTGATCAAGAAGGCTACAGGCTTGATTATTATGAAATAGAAGACCCTGATGACGAAGATTGGAATGGTGTGTGCAATGATTATGATGATTGGACATGGGAATCTAAAATGTCAACCGATGAGGATTGCTTGATGCTTGAGCTATTTAAGATTAAAACCCTAGTTATAGGATGTGGAGGAAGTGGAAGCAGAGGAACACAAGGAGGAGATAGAGGCGGAGGATCATAAGGTGGAATCGGAAGTGGACGGACTTAAAATAGTAAACTCCTAGCCACATACCATTCGAACAGCGCATGCTCTTCATCTTTTGATAACCCATTTTACATTAGTTGTTTCCAAATAATGATCAAACCTGAATCACTCTAATGCTAAATGATCTCCACTAGTCAATATGTCGCGCTCTAGGCAAAACTCAAGCACTCTAGGAGCATCCACCACATGGCGTGCGAGATGAGGCAAGCATCAATTAGTCAATTACCAATATCTTTGAACGTTTCAGTTTTAGAAATTTACTTTTGTATGCAGAGACTGTTCGAAAGCAAAAACAGAACCAGCCGAATGGATACATCCTTGAAACGCAATGACAACTTCCTTTGTTCCCACCTAGTCCTCCCAGTTTAATCCCTATTTTACACGGTTGTAGTGGCAGAAGCAATTAATTCTATCTGTGTAGCTAATGGAATAGTAAACTTGAGCAAAAAGAGCTGGCTGACGAATCTATCCTACTAAACAGAAGGCATAAGACACAGAAACTTTGCTGTCAATCAACATAGATATCATAACATGTGACGAGCCATTTCTTCAATGGAATAACCTTAGACGACTGTCCACCACTCCATTGAAATTTCCTTGTAACTCTCCGTAAATAGAAGGAAACAAATCATCTCAAAAGAATTGACGAAGTAGAAATAGAGCTTTTCCTGAGTTTTGTGCTGTTCTGGTGATAAAGATACGGATTATCAGGCTGTTAAATCATCTCAAAAGATGAAATGCAATGATACTGTTGCAATGCGAGAGTTTCAAAACCCCAGATGAAACGATCGAAGTTTCTATCTCAGACATCTCAATGCAGAGGAATGCCAAAGAAAGTGGTGAAAATTATAGAATTGGATTTTCTTAAATGCAAAATGTGTAATATCCTTCCAGTTCCAAGTCCATCTGAGGCTGTTGGTAAGAAATCTGTTCAAGAAGATGATAGTAATGAAGAAATATCATCTTCTGAAAAATAGAACTTGCTTTAAAATTAACTCCTGACAAGTTCTTTATGTTAAGTTTTCATCTCCAGATTATTCTAGCAAATTCAAGATGCTTACTTGATGCTACCAAGATATTTTCCACGTATGGATTCGTATGAGGAGTAATTTAATGTACTATTGTCAAAGCATCCATCTAGTTCTTGTTACAACTCAATAAAAAGTTTCCAAAAGAGGAAGTGAACAATGTTTAAATCATCAAAATGCCCAAAATTACAGGCAAGCAAGACAGGAGAAATTTTGTTAGCGAAACTGTTAATTAAATTACACCTCTGTGCTACTAACAGGGAGACCAACACATAAGCAAGAAAAAGAAACACAAGTCTTACAAAAGAAGGTATTATCTCATTCAACCAGAGATTTCAACAGCCTTGACGTCAGGTTTCTTGATTTCCTCTTTAGGCACAGTAACAGTAAGAACTCCATTCTCCATAGAAGCCTTGACCTGATCCATTTTAGCATTCTCAGGCAGCCTAAACCTCCTCAAGAACTTGCCACTACTACGCTCCACGCGATGCCACGTATCATTTTTGTCTTCCTTCTCTGCACTCCTCTCTCCGCTAATCTGAAGCACTCTGTCATCTTCAATTTCGACCTTCACTTCCTCCTTTTTAAGCCCAGGAAGATCTGCTTTGAATACATGGCCTTCTGGGGTCTCTTTCCAATCAATGCGGGTGTTAACGAAAGCTGAATTTTCTCCAGAGATGAGTGAATTGGAGGAAGAGAAAGGCAAGTCTTTGAGTGGATCCCAAATGTCGAAAGCTGAGAATGGATCTAAAATGCTGCCTCGTCGGTTGTTAAACAAACTCGGAATCAATGCCATCTTTTTTCAGAAAGTGTTTGGCTTGATGGGTTGCTGTTAATTTACTGATTGGTTATTTTTCTTGATTTCTCGATGTTGTTAAGAGGTTATACAGGTTGGTATTTATAACAAATAGAGGAGCCATCTGGTACATTCTGGACGATCTAGTTGGACCCTGATTTAGGAACATTCTTATTCTAGGTCCAACGTTCTGATAAAAACAGAGAAAATCTGATGTACTTTCTGGAGAATTCCTATATCTTCGTGGCTGTGGATTGAAAATGTATGGGCTTGGTGTTCAATTGGGCTCGAATATTTGATGGGCTTAAGCTTTCGTTTCGTTTTCTGTTTATGGGCCTTTTGATTTCTTTTTTCTGTTCAGCTTTTTTTTATTTTTTGTCTTTTCCTGACTTGTTTGTTGCATAGGAAAAAAAAAAAATTGTTCTTTCTACATCTAAAAAGTGAATCTACAAGAGAAACACACAGTAATTGCAATTTTGGGAGGGACATAAATAAATGAGAACATTACAGCAAAACTCCAGCAATTTAGGTTCTATGGCCACTATAAATCATGTACTTTCGGCTGCTTTATATATATATATAATTAAAATAAAGAATTTTAAAAAGAGGATTTAGTCCCTATTAATTAATATATAAATTGGTCAAAAGATATCCACAAATAAACAAATAAAATAACATGAATTGGGATAAATTTACTATAAACACACTACTTGTTAATATTTTTTTTCAATTGAGTATATAAATTTTATTTTTTTAATATATTAATTTTTTTAAAATTGTCAATCAAGTATTTTTGTTTTCACTAATTTTTATCAATTATTCATTATTGACATCCTTTTTATCTCATAACACTAAATTATGATTATTATTTTCTTTTATTTTTAAAAAGAAATTTCCATTTCAAATTTTTCTTTTTTTGGATAGAGAAGCGAATATAAAGAGTATATTAAGCTAGTGGAGAGAATACAAGACTATATTACATTAAGAAGGCTTAGGTAGTTCTCCTTTTAAGGATTGATAATAGTTGTTTGTATAAAAGATATAAAAATAAAGATGCAAACTAAATAACGTAAACTAGACATTTATATACTAAATTACATAAGTCATGGTATCTACAAATATAGATGACATAAATCATAACATTACAAACAAGAGTATAAAGTATAAATTAAATGACGTAAATCAAGACATCAGAAGAATATTTACATCATTACTGACGTAAGTAACATTGTTATCCCATTATATAAAAAAGAAGAAAATGGCAAAATCAAAGAAAAAAATTCTCAAAAATTCCCTAAGTATAAAATTGCAAAATTATAATTTAATAGAATAAGATAAAAAAAAAAAACTTATCATCAAATAATAAAACAATTGGTAAAAATTAGACGAAAAATACATAGTTAATAATTTTAAAAACTCCATATATTTAAATAAAAAAAAAGTTAAAATTTATGTATTTCAGTATAAATTTAGCTTCAAATCAAATCCTGTGACACTTCTGTTGCGTTCTCAGCACATTTGATTGAAGAAGATAAGATACATTCAAGAACCCAAACGTACGTGGGCATTAAGATTGTCGGAGTGTCTTTGTTCAAGTTGTCCTTAACTCTATGTCCCAAGACCTTGTATCCCAGTCAGAGCCCAAAATGGAGCAGCAAGCAACCACACTCGATGGAATGAGGAGCCTCTTTTTCGAACTTTGACTGTACCAACTCTTGTTATCGTTTGGGACGTACTGCTCCCCACTTTCCTCCTCCTCCCTACCCTCTCCTCTTCTGCCCTTCTAGTGTAATTACTGTTCGGAAAAGAAGGATAGTCATAGCTTTTTCAACACACACCACTTGTTCAAGGAATTTCCTCAAAGAAAAATAAAGATGCATTGCTTCTGGAAATCAAGATGGGCTGGCTTTTTGCTCCAAAACATTAAAACTAATAAATCTAAGCCTCTTTTATACTCCACAAAGCAGCATAACCAACTGTCACTTGAGATGCAAGAGGTGTGTAAAGTTGTTACGAGCTCGATTGGTGGTTTGGATGAGTTAGAGTTGAGTTTAAATCAATTTAAAGGTCAATTAACATCTCCTCTTGTTACACAAATTATAGATTCTTGCAAACACGAGGCTCCCACCAGAAGACTCTTGAGATTTTTTCTATGGTCGCATAAAGTTTTGGATCCGGAGAAACTGAAAGATGAGGATTTCAATCACGCCATTCGAGTTTTGGCTGAGAAGCAGGATCATACAGCAATGCATATTTTGATTTCGGATTTAAGGAAGGAAGGTCGCGTAATGGACGCTCAAACTTTTGCTTTTGTAGCCGAAACGTTGGTTAAACTGGGGAGAGAAGATGAAGCTTTGGGCATATTCAAGAACTTGGACAAGTTCAAGTGCCCACAAGATAGTGTTGCTGTCACTTCCATTATAAGCGCTCTTTGTGCGAAAGGGCAAGCTAAGAAGGCACAACGAGTGCTTTCGCACCATAATTATAGTGAAATATCCGGTGTAAATCCTTTAGTTGTTTATAAGTGTCTCTTGTATGGCTGGTCCGTGCAGGAGGACGCGAAGGAAGCTCGAAAGATTATCCAAGAAATGAAGGGAGAAGGGGTGATGCCAGACTTGTTCTGTTATAATACTTTTCTCAGGTGCCTTTGCGAAAGGAATCTTAAGCACAATCCCTCTGGACTTGTCCCTGAAACTTTGAATGTGATGATGGAAATGAGATCCTATAGGATTGAGCCAAACTCAATTAGTTACAATATATTGCTTTCTTGTCTAGGCAGGGCAAGAAGAGTCAAGGAATCGTACAAGATACTTGAGACAATGAAAACAACAGGTTGTGCACCTGATTGGGTGAGCTATTTTCTTGTTGCGAGAGTGATGTATTTGACTGGGAGATTCGGAAAAGGAAATAAGATGGTTGATGAGATGATTGGGCAGGGGCTGCGGCCAGATCGTAAGTTTTACTATAATTTGATTGGTATTCTTTGTGGAGTGGAGAGGGTGAGTTATGCTCTTGAGTTGTTTGAACGAATGAAGACGAGCTCACTGGGTGGTTACGGACCTGTATATGATGTTTTGATACCAAAGCTTTGTAGAGGGGGTGATTTTGCAAAGGGTAGAGAGCTATGGGAAGAGGCCACTGCTATGGGTGTCTCTCTTGGCTGCTCCAGTGATGTGTTGGATCCCTCTGTCACTGAGGTTTTCAAGCCCACGAGGAAGGTGGAGGAAGAGGTCAAGCTAGAGAAATTCTGCACAAACAACGTCCTCAGTGTCGAGCACAAGTCAAGAAGAAAAAGGGAAAGGTGAAGAACAAAATCAGGAGAGGATTAAGAAGATCGAGATTTCTTAGAAAATCTAGATGACTGCCCATTACCCCATTTAAATTTCCTTGTACTATCCGTAATTAGGAGGAAAACAAGACAGAGTTTATTCAGATATCATGATCTACATATATTTTTGTCTGAACCCAGGAAAATGTAATTGGCACAATCTAGGCTATATTCAGATATGTCTCTACTTCTAGATGAGATCTGAATCATTACAAAAGCAACTTGCATATCAACTTGAAATTGACCTAGAAAGAGCTGCCAAGCCCTTGAACGATTTGACAAAGTAGAGAGAGAACATTCCCAGAATTTTGTTACCCCGTTATGGTGATGAAGATACGGTTTAGAAGAGCCTTAAGCCCTCTAAAAAGATAATTGCAATGATAACGTGCGGTAACAATTAGACTCTATCTCAGGCGTTTCAATCCAAAGAAATCCCAAAGAAACTGATAGCAATTGTAGATTCGAATTGTTACTAAAACAAAATATGCAAGCTTGCTGAAAAAGAGAACGAATTGTAAATATAGATTTTGGCTCAAGGCAATTGTAGATTCGCAATTCTAGACACAAGAGGACGAACACAAGATGAAGTGCAATCTATTAAATCAAAGTGATGCCCTCAACATCCTGGTTTTTATCCCTAGTTTTCTGTGTAAAAGCTATAAAATTCCAACTCCTGACAAGTTCTTCTTTATGCTCAAGCTTTTATCTCTAAATTGTTCTAACAAATTCATATTTACCGTACCATTGGCCATGCATCCATCTCGCTCTTGTTGCAAATCCACAAGAAAATTTCCGGAAGAGAAAAATTATCAACCAAGTAATAAACCAAACGATCAAAAATACGATATGCGCACAATTACAAGCAACGGAACAAGACAAAATAATTTTTATTAGCCAAAAACTGTTAATTACATTACACCTCTGTGCAAACCAACAGGGGGACCGACACACACAAGCACGAGAAAAAGAAACAAAAATCTTACAAAAACTGATTGTAGTTTTTAATGGTATTATCTCATTCAACCAGAGATTTCGACAGCCTTGACGTCAGGTTTCTTGATTTCCTCTTTAGGCACAGTAACAGTAAGAACTCCATTCTCCATAGAAGCCCTGACCTGATCCATTTTTGCATTCTCAGGAAGCCTAAACCTCCTCGAGAATTTGCCACTGCTACGCTCCACACGGTGCCACTTATCATTCTTGTCTTCCTTCTCCACATTCCTCTCTCCGCTAATCTGAAGCACCCTGTCATCTTCAATTTCTACCTTCACTTCCTCCTTTTTAAGCCCAGGAAGATCTGCTTTGAATACATGGGCTTCCGGGGTCTCTTTCCAATCAATGCGGGTATTAACAAAGGCTGAATTTTCTCCAGAGACGAGTGAGTTCGAGGAAGTGAAAGGGAAGTCTTTGAGCGGATCCCAAATGTCGAGAGCCGAGAATGGGTCGAAAATGCTGCCTCGTCGGTTGTCAAAGAAGCTTGGAATCAATGCCATTTTTTTTCCAGAAAATCGCTTGGTTTGATGGGTTGCTGTGAATTTCCTGATTGGTTTTTTTTCTTGTGGGATCTGTAATGCTTGATTTCTAAATTAGTCTTTTTAGTTTTTCAAAAAAATTAAATAGTTCTTTTGGTTTAACAAATAGAAAATAAGAAAATAAAAATATTGATAAAATAATATTTTTTAGAATAAAATAATATCAAATCATGATCAACAAGGGTCATAGGACCAAGTAATTAATTTTTAAAATAAAAAATTATTAATTTATTTTGAGAAATTAAAAGAACTAATTTCTAATTTACTCGTTCAGCCTTCTTTGTGCTTTTCGTCTTTTTCTTTACTTGTTTGTTGCGTGGAGTCGGAAAAAAAATTACTTGAAGAACGTGATTGATCCTTATACTCTTCTTGTTTTTTTTTATTTATTTATTTAATTTCTTGATACAGCAAATACTATCACTTCTTTATGCTTTTGGAAAAATGATGCATTTCTATATAATTAATCTCTATACCATTGATGATTATTTTTTTCTTATAATTTTTAATAAAAGATTTTAAAACCGAATCCGCAAATTATCGCGAAGGCATGCAAAGATTGTTAAGTTATTTTCTGGCTGTATATTAAATTTTCGAAGATTACTGTATTATAAATACAAATCAAAATTTGATTTTTCTAAAAATTTTGAGGTTTCAGATGAGAAAGTGAGGATTTGGGATTTGCAAACTTATGTAAAGAAGCATGATTTGGAGAATTAAGCTATCGCATATAGCTCAGTGGACCTCTGGCTGACCTTTTTAATTATATCACTGCATTATTATTACTCTAGCTGCTTGAAATAACTGTACTCTTATCAAATAAAGAACTCTATCAAATAAATCGCATATCAAATTATTTTAATGTTTATGAAGTTATTTTGAAATAAAATATCTATGTAAGAAGGTGTTTAAGAATTAATTAAACAATTGATCAATAGATCAATCAAGAAACAAAGAATCAATATTGTAATTTTTAAAAATAATCATAAATAAATTAAATAGAATTTATGCAATTAATAAGAGACATAAAGAGAAAAATAGATAATATTACAAAGACACAAGTCAGATGATAGATTAGTGAATGATCAGCATTTAAATATAGAAAGTTTTAAATGATATTTATTGTGACAGTGGAGGAGTTTAAAATGATGTTTATTCTGGGCCGACACCTCGTAAAAAAAATTGATGAATTCCCTGTAACATTCCTGAATCTTTGTGGCTGTGGAATGAAAAGGTATGGGCTTGGGTGTTCAATTGGGTTTGAATATTTAATGGGCTTAAGACTTGTTTTTATTTTTTTCTTGCGGGCCCTGTAATGTTTGATTTCTTTTTTGTTTACGTTTCTTTGTGTTTTTCTTTCTTCTTTCTTTTTTTAGTATTTTCTACTTATTTATTGAGTAAATAATAAATTAGTCTTTTTAGTTTTATAAAACAAATTAAATAATCATTTTATTTATAAAAATTAATTAATTAATTTTTAAAAAATCTATTTATAATTTAATATATTATTTTTATTTTTTTGTTTATAAAACTGAAAGAGAAAAAAAATATAAAAAAGATTTACGAGGAGATAATATATTTTTTCTAATAATATAATATTAAATTAATTAAAACCAATATTATTAAGAAATTAATTAATTAGTTTTTGAAACAAACAAATGATGTAATATATTTTGTAATTAAAAACCTAATTTATAATTTATTTTTTTGTTGAAACAGGTCCGAGAAAAAGAAAAGATGAGAAAAAATAAATAAATAGAATGAGAATGTTCCTTGTGTTCTCGACGATCGAGTTGGACGCTGGTTCAGGAACGTTCAGGGTCCAACTGCAACACCCGCGATAAAAAGTTGAAGAACTTTCTGGAAAATTCCTCAATATTTGTGGCTGTGAATTGAAAACGTATGGGCTTGCTGTTTAATTGGGTTTGCTTAGTTTTCTTTTTCATATGGATCCTGTAATGTTTGATTTCTTCTTTCTCTTCAGGCTTGAGTAAATTATAAATTTTTTTTTAATTTTTCAGAAAAAGTAAAATAATATAAATAATTCTTTTAGTTTCAATAACTAGTTAATTAGTCTCTATATTTTTAAATCTATTAGAAATTTAATTATTTTCTACCTTTTTCAATTCATTTTATTTTTTAAATAAATAGAAAAAAGAAATAAATAAGTAAATAAAAATATTGAAATATTTATCCGAAAAGAAAATATTTTTTAGAATAAAATAATATTTAATTAATTATGATAAAGTAATAAGATTAAATAATTAATTTTTAAAACAAGAAAGACTTAATTTATTTTGGAAAACTAAAGGGACCAATATGTAATTTAATTGTTCAGACTTCTTCCTTCTTCTTCTTTTTTCTGCATCGAGTCAGGAAAAAAAAAAAAAAAAGGGAAAGCGAATGTGATCAATCCTTATCTTCTTCTCTTTTAAAAATAAAAAAATAAAAAATAAAGTTGTTCTTATTTTTTCAAATGCAATCACTTTATGCTTTTGGCAAAATGATGCATTTCTGCATTATTAATATTTATACAACAGATTATTTTTTTATGTCAGTACTAGAAGATTTTTTTTCTTAGAATAAAATAATATTAAATTAATTATGATAAAGTAATAAGATTAAATAATTAATTTTTAAAACAAGAAAGACTATTAATCTATTTTGGAAAACTAAAGGGACCAATATGTAATTTAATTGTTCAGACTTGTTCCTTCTTCTTTTTATCTTTTTTCTGATTCTTTTGTATTTTCTTTTACTTTTTTGCTGCATCGAGTCAGAAAAAAAAAAAAAAAAAAAAGGAAACCGAATGTGATCAATCCTCATCTTCTTCTCTTTTAAAAAATAAAGTTTTTCTTATTTTTTCAAATGCAATCACTTCATACTTTTTGGCAAAATGATGCATTTCTGTATTATTAATATTTATACGACAGATGATTTTTTTTATGTCAGTTTACTACAAGATTTTAAAACTGAATCCGCAAATTAATGCGAATGTATGTAAAGATTGTCAAGTTATTTGTTGCCTGTATATTGAATTTTCAAAAATTACGACACCAGAAATACAAATCAAAATATGATTTTCTCTAACTTTTGAGGATTTAGTGCTTGCAAACTTATGCAATCAAGCATGGTTAGGAGAATTTAAGCTGTCGCATTTAGCTAAACACAATTTTGACTAATCATATTGTGGATACATTTATTAACATTTTAAAATATATAAATAGTTCGCGTGATGGATGGATTGATCCACGTATATTATTTTGAATACATTTTAAAAATATTAAAGATTTAATCTTAATTTTATTTGATGATAACTTAATAATTAATTTATCTTGAAAACTTGCATAATATTATTCATCCCATTTAAAAATCTTATGACTCTTTAATACATATTTATATGAATTTTCAATAATTTTTTGCATCATGAAGTGCAGGGATATACAATTTCCTGTGTCAAAAGCTTGCAGGTGTTTCGACCTGGGGGTTTCCAAGGCGGAGGAATTGAAGGACCTCCTTATTTGCACCCTCAATTGATGCACAGAGCTCAAGCAAAGACAAATGATGATTATGTCGTCAAGACATTCAAAAAACTTCCTATGCTCTACCAAGAGAAGATTATAGAAGAACTTTCTGACCAACTTCATCAACAGGTTTTGGTCAAAAAGTTGTCTGACGAGAGTGAAGAAGCTTTTAGGCTGAGATGTTTCGTAGAGTTGTTTACGAAGCTTCCATCGGATAGCCGCCAAAGTTTCAATAACGAATTTCGTCGGAGATGCTATTCAGTCACTGGTTCTTCTTCACTCTCTAGTCTCTACACAGATACTTGGCTTTTGGTTATGGTTACCAAAGTCAAAGCCCAAAACTTATAAATCTATGTTCTTTTTTTTTTTTGGTTTGAAATTGATTCTTAACACCAATTAGCAACAGAGATAACTTCAGAATTTTTAAAAAATAAATTGATACTATTATTGTTTCGAATTAAACTATGCTTTTGTCATTTTAATTTTAAAAATACTCCAAGAATTTACATTTGTCAACACTTTTCTCCAACTACAGATTAAGAAAGTTAAAAACCTAGGTGTTTTGCAGAGTTTCCCTTGAAGCTTCCCTTTCATAGCTACAACAGATTCGAGGGAAATTCTCATCACGATACCAGAGGCCCATCAGTTTCTAGAACAATTCTTTCTGGGCTGAGTGAAGGACTTGCTCAGCAGATCGCTCAAGGGCCTTTTGAGGGTATAGTAGGTGAAGAGTCTTCTTTGACACTGGATTTCTTCAAGGTGAAAGCCCTGTATCTGCGAGGAGCACATGGAGTGGAAGACGGTTCTGCTTCTACAACTACAAGCACTAAATAATAATAGCTTACTGTGGAAGGAGGTGCTTAATTTGATGGTAAGCAATCTCAAATGTGTATGGTTGCTTTGGTAAGAGTGTGAAACAATGCTTTTGATGTTGATGTTTCTCCTACATAGATTAGCTTTCTTTAAGGTCGAGAAAGGACCTAAAAAGGTACTTAATGGAACACAGGATTAGATGTTATGCAATTAATCAAAAGACAATTTTATGAACACAGCATAGGCATAAGAATTGGAGTTGCACTACTTACTGATTCCCAGATTTCCCCTATGGGAATCAGAGAGGTGGTGGTAAGGCCATTATCTGTAGCCGAACTGATCACTCATTCTTCCGTTTGGGATAGATCCAGTATGGTTTAGAATGTCCTGCAAATATCAATTTACTCTACCAAAACCCAATTGGAAAGTGCTGATGTTTTTCTTCTTTTTTCTTTTTTTCGGTTCATCAATCGGTCCAGAGCTTTTTGAACTATATAATTGAAATAACCCTACTCTTTGCATGATAAACAACACTACATCATGTCTGCTTATAAGTGCAGAGGTTTTTTTGGCTTTTGGGTGGATGATTAATTATATATGAGAGTCAAGAATACAGGAAAACGAGGGGGGGGGGGGGGGGGGGGAGGTGTTGGTTGGGAGGAAAAAGAAGAGAAATAGTAGAAAAACTCTTATTTACGTTACATTACGTTACATAATATACACTCAACACTTTTGTGAATACTATCAGGGAGATCAAAACTTCCAACTAGTTCAGAAAAACGAGAACACAAAAGAACTCGTAGTTTTTAAAAACACAAAATAATCCGTAGATATTCTCTCATTCAATCAGACATTTCCGAAAGAAGGAAACGATCAACCAAGTAATAAACCAAACGATCAAAAAATCAAGATATGCGCAAAATTGCAAGCAACGGAACAAGACAAAATAATTTTTATTAGCAAAACTGTTAATTACATTACACCTCTGTGCATACCAACAGGGGGACCGACACACACAAGCACGAGAAAAAGAAACACAAATCTTACAAAAACGGATTGTACTTTTTAATGGTATTATCTCATTCAACCAGAGATTTCAACAGCCTTGGCGTCAGGTTTCTTGATTTCCTCTTTAGGCACAGTAACAGTAAGAACTCCATTCTCCATAGAAGCCCTGACCTGATCCATTTTTGCATTCTCAGGAAGCCTAAACCTCCTCGAGAATTTGCCACTGCTACGCTCCACACGGTGCCACTTATCATTCTTGTCTTCCTTCTCCACATTCCTCTCTCCGCTAATCTGAAGCACCCTGTCATCTTCAATTTCGACCTTCACTTCCTCCTTTTTAAGCCCAGGAAGATCTGCTTTGAATACATGGGCTTCTGGTGTCTCTTTCCAATCAATGCGGGTATTAACGAAGGCTGAATTTTCTCCAGAGATGAGTAAGCTCGAGGAAGCCCAAGGGAAGTCTTTAAGTGGATCCCAAATGTCGAAAGCGGAGAATGGATCGAAAATGCTGCTTCGTCGGCTGTCAAAGAAGCTTGGAATCAATGCCATTTTTTTTTTTCAGAAAATCGTTTGGTTTGATGGGTTGCTGTTAATTTCCTGATTGGATTTACGCTGGATATCTCGACGCTAAGTTGAGAAGCGGCACGGTTGGTATTTATAACAAGTCAAGGAGCCATCTGGTGTATTCTGGACGATCGAGTTGGACACTGACTCAGGAACGTTCTGGGTCCAACTGCGACAACCTAATAAAAAGTTGAGGAACTTTCTGGAAAATTCCTCAATCTTTGTGGCTGTGAACGTATGGGCTTGCTGTTCAATTGGTTTGAAATATTTAATGGGCTTGAGACTTCGTTTCGTTTTGTTTTTTTTACCTTGTGGGCTCTGTATTGTTTGATTTCTTTTTCCTATTCAGGCTTGAGTAAATTATAAATCAGTCTTTTTAGTTTTTCAAAAAATTAAATAGTTTTTTTAGTTTTAACGAGTAGGTTGCCCGTGCTATGCCGTGAATCCGATAAAATAAAATTATTTTAAAATTTTAATTTTTTTATAAATTATATTATTGAAAAAATAAATCATTCTTCCTTATGAATTGATTTTAAAATTAACAATTTTAATAATTTTAACTAAAATATTAATCAAAAATTAAAAAAAATAAAAATATAATTTTCATAATATTTTATTCAAGAAATAAAGTTATAATTAATGGGCAGACTTTTATAAAAATTAACAAATGAAAAAAATTATTTCATATTGATAAGAAAATTAATTTTTGAAATTATCTGCGTAATGCTATTGGTAAATAGAGCAAGATCATTTCAAAATGTTATAATTTTTTCATTAATTTTTTATTTAATTATTACCTCTCTTTTTTTGTGTGTTTTTCATAAAACTTCTACTTAAAAAAACATAATATATTGTTCTTTATTTACGGATTCTTAAATAAAAACTTATAATATTTCAAACCCGAAATATTAATTAAGAATTCAAAAACAAATGGTTTAAAATTATCTCTCTTTTTTTTATAAGAATGTATAAAAAAATAAAGTTACAATTTATGTATAGACTTGCGTCAAAATTAACTAATGGAAAAATAAAATTTTATTCTTATTTAATGTTGGTGGGAAGTTTTTTTTTTTAAAGTATATGCATTTGATATCTATATATTTACTTACAAAATAATCAATAAAATTAACATAAAAAAATAGTATTTGAATAATTTGTTGGTTCCTTTAAAAAATTACTTTAATTATCTGGTTTCAACTAAATTGATTATATAATGTTAAAAAACATTTATTGTAAATAATTTGTATTATGTTGAAAGATGTATAGTTAATTTTTAATAAAATTAACAATTCAATAATTTGTTTATACATCTTGATCATACCTAGTAAACTGAGATAAATTATTTAAAATATATTTTTAACCTTTTAGGATAAAATAATTATATATATATATATATAACTATCATTCAAAAATTCTAAGAATTCATGATATATATTATACCAATTTATTTTTTTAAAAAAAATCATATTTTAAAATTTTATTCTAAAATTCAAACACAAAAAAAAATAAATTATATAATATTAGTAAATGAAATTTCACACAAAAAATATAAATTGGACGAGGTTTTTCATTAAAAAATGATAAATTCAAATGATGAAATTTAAATAATATGAGTAATATAAGCTGAAGTATATGTTAATTTTAAAATATAAAAAGATATATTATATATTTGTCGGTTTGTGTGAAAAAAAGTTACTATTGATTTTTCAAAATTTTAACAATCAATTAAATAAAAAAAACATAAATTGATTGGAAAAAAAGCAAAGGAAAAAAAATGATTTTTTAAAATTTTAACATCCAATTAAATAAAAAAAGAATTCAAATTGATGAAAAAAAGTAAAGGAAAAAAAAAAAGAAGGCATGTGTAGTGTATTAGTTAGGAGATTAAAATTTTTATTTAAAAATTTTAAGGACGAAAATGTAACAACATTAAAATTACAAAAAAATCATGAAAAATGTATTAAAAAATAATTTATTTACTAAATGCACCACTATAAATATCAAAAGTACCTATATATCTTTTTTTTAATAATGCAAAAGTATCTTATTTTAGTACTAAATTTTTTAGTATAATATATGTGCTTTTTTAATATTAAATGGATTGATATTTTAAACTTTAGAAATAACTAATAAATAACATAAATTGTTGATTCCTTGTAGCACCCAATTAATTTTGGTTACTTTAAAATTTTAACTGCAGTTATTTAAAAAACAAGCCATGGGTTTCAAATGAACAATAAATGGGGAAAAAAGAATTAATTCTAACTGTAGTTATTAAAAAAAAAGGCGCGGGTATTATTCAAATGAATAGTAAATGGGAAAAAAAGAACTAAGCTGCAGTAGCCAAAAAAAAAAAAAAGACCTTAGCCGTCGTTACTGTTCAAATGAACAGTGTAAAATTCCGATTCAACGGCTGAAACTAAAAAAAGTATAAAACAATTGTTTTGCACAGTTGTTTAACAAAAGTAAAGAAAAGCAGAAAGAAATGAAAATTGCACTGTCTGCGTCCACAGTAAAGATGAGTCTAAATAAACAGGATAAAACACTGATATTTTTTCTCATTTGTTTTAGTTTTATAGTAAATAACTTGCTAATTAGTCTAAATAAACAGGATAAAACACTTTTAGTTGGACGCTGATTCAGGAACGTTCTGGGTCCAACTGCAACGACCTGATAAAAAGTTGATGAACTTTCTGGAAAATTCCTCAATCTTTGAGGCTGTGAATGTATGGGCTTGCTGTTCAGTTGGTTTGAATATTTAATGGGCTTGAGACTTCGTTTTGTTTTGTTTTTTGTTTTTTTTTTTCCTTGTGGGCTCTGTATTGTTTGATTTCTTTTTCCTATTCAGGCTTGAGTAAATTATAAATTAGTCTTTTTAGTTTTTCAAAAACTTAAATAGTTTTTTTTAGTTTCAATAACTTCTTAGTTAGTCTCTATGTTTTTTTAAATCTATTTGAAATTTAATTTTTTTCCTTTCAATTCATTTTTTTAATAAATAGAAAAAGGAAAAAAATAAGAAAATAGAAATATTGATGGAAAAAATATTTTTAAATAAAATAATATTAAATTAATTATGATAAACAAGGGTTATAGGACTAAATAATTAATTTTAAAATAAGAAAAACTATTAATTTGATTTTCTAAACTAAAAGAACTAATTTATAATTTACTTGTTCAGCCTTCTTTGTGTTTTTCTTTGTTTTTTGGTCTTTTTCTTTACTTGTTTGTTCCATCAAGTCAGGAAAAAAAAAACTTAAAGAATGTGATTGATCCTTATCTCTTTTTTTTTTAATTAAAATTGTTCTTATTTTCTTGATACTGCAAGTACATTCACTTCCTTCATATTTTTGGCAAAATGATGCATTTCTATATTATTAATCTTTATACAACAGATGATTATTTTTTTCTTAGAATGTTTAATGCAAGATTTTAAAACCGAATCCGCAAATTAATGCGAAGGCATGCAAAGATTATAAATACAAATCAAAATTTGATTTTCTCTGACTTTTGACGTTTCAGATGAGAAAGTGAGGATTTGGGAATTGCAACTTATGTAAAGAAGCATGGTTAGGAGAATTAGGCTGTCGCATATAGCCAAGCAGAACTCTGGCTGATCTTTTGTAATTTAATTAATCTAGAACTAATTCCTCAATCATTTTATATTACTGCATTATAATTATTCAAGCTTCTTTAAATAACTGTACTCTTATAAAATAAAGCACTCTATCAAATAAATCGCACATCCAAATTATTCTAATGCTTATTAAGCTATTTTGAGACAGAACATATACATACGAGGGATTGAGGGGAGTTTAAGAATTGATTGGTTAATAGATCAATGAGGATACAAAGAGTTAATATTATGATTTTTAGAAATAAAAATAAACTAACTAACTAGAATTGAAGTGCATGATGAGATATGAAAATAGTAGGAAATATAGCTAAAAAGATACAAATCAAGTCACAAATAAGCGAATGATGAGATATGAAAATAGTAGGAACTAGAGCTAGAAAGATACAAATCAAGTCACAAATAAGTGAGCGGTTAAAATCCAAACACGTGGAGTTTTAAATGATGTTTATTTTGTAACTCGGGAGAGTTTTGAATAGGTATGATAGTGGATTAGATATAAAAATGATATCCCTTATACACACAACAAATACTTATTAAAAATATTTAATAGATAGTTAGATGGATAAGGATAAAAATAATACATATTTGATAATATTACTTCAAAGTATAGGTATTCATATTTTATCCTGCTAATGCCCATTAATATATTTCAAACAAAAAAAATTAAATATGGATAGACCTAATTACATAAACTTTATAAAATAAAAATTGAATATCTTTTATAAAAACTTTAAGGACCAAACAAACTTACAAATAAAAGACTAAATAGAAAAAATAATTTTAAGGACCAAATAATTTTAAGGACCAAAATAACTTCTTAAAAAATTATAAGAACTAAAATGAAATATTTTGAAAAAATATTTTTAAAAGTCATTAAATGGTTATTAAATAAGAAGGTTAACTGGGTATGGACCTAACATGAGTTTTATAAGTAGTTTTTTAATTGGAATAGATAATGTTTTTTTTTTTAATTAATGGGATAAAAAATCAAATTAATTGATCGAATTTTCAACTCATTGTCATCCTTAGTTTTTGAGAAAATAGTGTCCAAAGATTTTACTAAAATCAAAAAGTTGAAGCCCCCAATCCCAATTATGTGAGGTTATTTATAAAGAATTGAAGATAACACTAGACTAATAATACCAGATCACGTCATTTATATTTGGACATTTAGATTTAAATTACAGAAAGTTAATATTATTATTATTATTATTATTTTATTGTTTTGTTAAATTGATTCAACTTGCTAACAAAACTAAAAAAAAAATTGGATTTTGTTTTTAACAAATCATATTATGAGTTTACCAAATGAATCTTCTTAATGCTTACCAATACCAAGGCACGAATACTAGCTCTTTCAAAATACTCATGTTCTTCATTTCGTGGTCCAAAAATGATGTTCATCTTTAATCAAATTTATTTATAATGCAGTTTGTATCTATGTAAAAAAACATGAATTAATTTACGATAACACTAATAAATTACTTAATTAACTTTAGAGAAAAATAAAAACACATACAACCCGAAATGAAACCATCTAAGGTTTAAAGTGGTCTATGCTGTGAATGCGCATGTCAGGCTAGTGAAGTGATTATCTGACGATATACTTAGCAAAACAAATAATTAGAAAGTACGAAAAATGACAGCAGGAAGCTTATTCTAAAACTTAATTCAGATGACAAATCTAAGGACAGTGATTACTATGAAGTGAAGATTTTCGTCATTATTTTTTCTAGTGCAGCAATAAAGAATTATATGGTTCATCACTCATCACTTCTGGCATCCATGTATAATACATCCTGCCAAGAAATAGCTGCAGCCCTGAAGCGCAAGCTCTGTTTCTGAATTACAATTCCTAAGAGCCTTGCCTTTTCCTTTCGATATTTCAGCAGATAGAGATACACCATAACTATCAAGTTCTTCAGATATCGAAATAAGATTATTCAAGGGCCATCAGTTGACAGGGTACACGGTGTCCTTTCTGCTCACTCAACTTAAAATATTCTGGGTCACCTTCAAATATAATTTCCAAAAGAATATACGGAAACTAAAAGCTAATAAAGAGGGGAAATGTTACTTGGCACAGGGCCAAAAGCCAAATCACTCCCCTTCCAAGCAATTACTTGCACTTGCACTTGCACCTAATCCTTCCTGGCCCATTTCCCTCTTCTACATAACTCAATTCTCTGAACAAAGATATTGCAAAGTCCGATTGCACATAACATCCTAACACAAGACAGACTTGCAATGCTCGAAGCCCACCAGTTATGTAATGACTCTTTCTTGGATACGGCATATCGGTCAAGAGATTTTTGGAGGTATAGAAGCCAAGTCTTCTTTGACACTGGATCTCTTCAAGGTGAAAACTCTGTATTTGCGAGGAGCAGATGAAGTGGAAAATGGTACTACTCCTACAAGCACTAAATAACAAATAACAATAGCAGGCTACGGAAGGAGGTTGCTAATCTGATTGTGGCAATCAAATAGACATGGTAACTTTGGTAAGATCGCAATGTTTCTCCTACAGAGTTTTTTGCTCTTATGAAGCCCTTTCAGGATGTTTTTTATTCTCTGTCAAAATAGTACCTAAAAAACTAGTGATTATGGTAAGACGCGAAAGCTGTATTTATTGTAACAGAGGATTGGATGTTTGCAATAAGCTCTAATATTAGTTGAAGGGGTAAAATTTTTTATTAGGAAATGAGTTTCAACTGTTTATTGAGCAGTTTGCCTTCGCGACAGACAACGAGAAAGGGAAAGTGAAACGAAAATTGCAGTAGAACTATAGGAAGAACAACAACGTTTTTACAAAACCTTTTGAGCGGATTGATTGAATTACAATTGGGACTCAGAAATAAAAGAAAAAAAATTACAAAAACTGTTATTTTACATTATGTAATAATACATTAAACTCTTTTAAGCGTAATAACAGGGGACCACGACATCCAACAAAAACACACAAAATAACCCACAGTTCTTGCGAACAGGGGATAATGAATCGATATGCTCTCATTCAACCAGAGATTTCAACAGCTTTGACATCAGGTTTCTTGACTTCCTCTTTAGGCACAGTAACAGTAAGAACTCCATTCTCCATAGAAGCCTTGACCTGATCCATTTTGGCATTCTCAGGAAGCCTAAACCTCCTCAAGAACTTGCCACTGCTACGCTCCACACGGTGCCATGTATCATTCTTGTCTTCCTTCTCCACATTCCTCTCCCCACTAATCTGAAGCACTCTGTCATCTTCGAGTTCGACCTTCACTTCCTCCTTTTTAAGCCCTGGAAGATCTGCCTTGAATACATGGGCTTCTGGGGTCTCTTTCCAATCGATGCGAGTGTTGACAAAGGCTGAATTTTCGCGAGAGATGAGTGAATTGGAGGAAGCGAAAGGGGAGAAGTCCTTGAATGGATCCCAGATGTCGAGGGAAGAGAATGGATCGAAAATGCTGCTGCCAGGGCGGCTGTTGAAGAAGCTTGGAATCATTGCCATTCTTTACTTGCCAAAAGAATTGATCGCTTGTTTTGATTAGCTGCTCGTTCTATTTTAATTGCTTCTAATTCTTGATTTTCCTGAGGGTGCGTCAGAGAAGCGGGACAAGTTGGGTATTTATAGGAAGTTAGGGAAGCATCTTGTTTATTCTAGGCTAACGGAGTTGGATGCTGGTAGGGATTAAGGAAGGTTCAGGGTCCAACCAAAACTGGAAGATTGACGAACTTTCTCCTACATTCCTGAATCTTCATGGATGTGAATTGGAATTTTATGGACTTGAAGTTCAATTGGGTTTGAATTTTTAATGGGTTTAGGCCCTTTTTTCGCATTTTGCTTATGGGCCTTTTTCACTCGAAGACTAGAATGATCCTAAAAACCAATCGAAAACATTAAAGAGGTAAAATATGCCTCTTTTTTCTCTCTGTCCTTCAATTTCTCAGCAACCAAACACGGTATGAAGATTCGAGAATTTTTAGGGTGCCTGAAGTTTGGTGCACTGATTCAAAATTGGGAGGAAGAAGGAATCATTTGCCTGGCTAAATAAGCCAGAACGATGGCGTATAATTGTTTTAGTAGTCAAACCATCTTGCGCGATAGTAGAATTTTTTTATTTTCATTTTAAATTCAAGGGAAGGGCCTGAATACAGATATCATAAAGCCCAAGTTCAATTAATTGAAGTCCAATAATCAAATTTATTTCATGTAGATTTTATGGTCACTTGTAGTCATGTACTTTTGCTGTTAATTTTTTCAATTAAAGTAATATTTATTGTACAAATTGTTCAAGATAAATAAATAAATTAATTAAAGTATTACATAATAATCTCTTTATGCTAATGAAATTTTCTCATTTAATTTTTTATATGGTTTTAAAAAATTATTAATTGTTATATTATCTTAGTATTTTTTTTGTTTGTAATTTTTTCAATTTATTTTTTGCTAAAACTATTAGTTATTATATTTAAGAGTACATGATATGAAATTAATATTAATTTAAGAAAATTTTTATGTAAAATTAAAGTTGTGAATCAAAGAAAAAAATCATTAAATTAATTAACAATTATGTTTAAAATAATTATAGAAAAATAGCATATTAATTGGAAATATTTTACTCTCAAAATTTTGACATACAATAAAATCTTTATAAAAATAAATATTTTTTATGTAACAAAAAAAAATTCTCTCATTTTCTATTCTTGACTAATAAAAAATGAATGGTTTTTTTTGTGCTAAAGGTTTTTGTATGTGTGAAGGAAAAAAATATTAAAAAAACCATTCATTTTTTATTAGTCAAGAATAGAAAATGAGAGAAAGAATTGATTTTTTTTTTATCAATGAAAGATATTTAAGAGAAAGATATTATTTAAAATTTTGAAAAAAATAAATATTTTAAAACATATATATATATATATATATATATATATATAAAGATTACAGTGCTTTTATAAAGAAAAAAGAAGTATAAATTTAACTTCAAATCAAATCATGTGACTAGGCAGGGGGACACCACAATTCCATTCTCAGCACATTTGATTGAAGAAGACAGGGCCTATTCAAGAATCCAAACGTACGTGGGCGTCAAGATTGTTGGAGTATCTTTGTTCAACTTGTCCTTAACTCTATGTCCTAAAACCTACAATCCCAGTCAGAAATGGGGCAGCAAGCAACCGCACTCGATGGAATGTGGAGCCTCTTTTTAAAATTCACGGCGAGGGCATAAAACGCAAGTTCAAGTACTAGTATTAGGGCCTGTCCAGGTTCAATTACTCGAAGTGAAATAACCACATTTATTTCATTTATATTTTATGGCCACGCATAAATCATATACTTCGGGTTTTTTTTTTTTTGCTAATTAAACTAATATTTTTAGAAAAAGAGGATTTAGTATTAAATATATAAATTAAGGATAAATTTACTATAAGCATATTAAATTTCAACATTATTTCAATCCAATGTATAAATTTTATTTTTTTATTTGATTACATTATTTTGTCAAAACTATCATTTTTTGTCTAATTTTTATCGATTACTTATCATCTGATGACTTGTTATTTAATCCATTTTACTAAATTATAATTTTTTTTTTTTTTTTGAAGAAACTTTTTCTCTGATGTTATTTATCCTCTTGTTTTTTTTTTTGTTTTTTTTTGGGATAGAGAAAAGAGTATAAAGAGAAGATTAGGCTAGTAGAAAGAATATGAGAGTATATTAGGCTAAGAAGCCTTAGACAATTATGCTTTTATGGATAGATAACAACTCTTTATACAAAAGATATAAAAATACTGATACGAATTAGATAACACATATGACATTTATAAATTAGACAATGTTAGTCATGAAATTTGCAAACTAAATGATGTAAGTTATAACATCAATATAATATTTACATTATTGTTGAGGTAAGTCAATATTATTATCACAGATGTTTATTTTTTTCTTAGAATGTTTAATGCAAGATTTTAAAACCGAATCCGCAAATTAATGCGAAGGCGTGCAAAGATTATAGATACAGATCAAAATTTGATTTTCTCTGACTTTTGACGTTCCAGATGAGAAAGTGAGGATTTGGGAATTGCAACTTATGTAAAGAAGCATGGTTAGGAGAATTAGGCTGTCGCATATAGCCAAGCAGAACTCTGGCTGACCTTTTGTAATTTAATTAATCTAGAACTAATTCCTCAATCATTTTATATTACTGCATTATAATTATTCTAGCTACTTTAAATAACTGTACTCTTATCAAATAAAGTACTCTTTCAAATAAATCGCATATCCAAATTATTCTAATGCTTGTTAAGTTATTTTGAGACAGAACATATACATAGGGAGTTTAAGAATTGATTGGTTAATAGATCAATGAAGATACAAAGAGTTAATATTATGATTTTTAGAAATAAAAATAAACTAACTAACTAGAATTGAAACGAATGATGAGATATGAAAATAATAGGAAATAGAGCTAGAAAGATACAAATCGAGTCACAAATAGATGAGTAGTTAAAATCCAAACATGTGGAGTTTTAAATGATATTTATTTTGTAACCGGAAGAGTTTTGAATAAGTATGATAATGGATTGGAGATAAAACTAATATCCCTTCTACACACAATAAATACTCATTAAAAATATTTAATAGATAGTGAGATGGATGAGGATAAAAATAATACATATTTGATAATATTACTTCAAAGCATAGGTACTCATATTTTATCCTGCTAATGCCCATTAATATATTTCAAACAAAGAAATTAAATATGGAGAGACCTAATTACATAAACTTTATAAAATAAAGATTGAATATCTTTTATAAAAACTTTAAGGACCAAACAAACTTACAAATAAAAGACTAAATAGAAAAGATAATTTTAAGGACCAAAATAACTTCTTAAAAAATTATAAGAACTAAAATGAAATATTTTGAAAAAATATTTTTAACAGTCATTAAATGGTTATTAAATAAGAAGGCTAACTGGGTATGGACCTAACATGAGTTTTACAAGTAGTTTTTTAATTGGAATAGATAATTTTTTTTTATTAGTGGGATAATTAATCAAATTAATTGATCGAATTTTCTATCCATTGTCATACTTAGATTTTGAGAAAATATAATGTCCAAAGATTTTACTAAAATCAAAAAGTTAAAGCCCTCGATCCCAATTATGTGAGGTTGTTATTTATAAAGAATTAAAGATAACACTAGACTAATAACATCGATCACGTTATTCATATTTAGACATTTAGATTTGAATTGCAGAAAGTTTTTTTAAAAAAAAAAAATCTGATTCAACTTGCTAACAAGACTGAAAAAAACAAAAAAGGATTTTGTTTTTAACAAATCATATTATGAGTTTACCAAATGAATCTTCTTAATGCTTACCAATAACAAGGCATGAATACTAGCTTTTTCAAAATACTCATGTTCTTCATTTCGTGGTCCAAAACTTTGTGTTTAATGATGTTAATCTTTAATCAAATTTATTTATAATGCAGTTTGTATCTATGTGAAAAAAACATGAATTAATTTATGATAAAATTAAATAAATTACTTAATTAAATTTATAGAAAAATAAAAAACACATACAACCCCAAATGAAACTATCTAAGGTTTAAAGTGGTCTATGCTGTGGATGCGCATGTCAAGCTCGTCAAGTGATTATCAGACGATATACTTAGCAAAACAAATAATTAGAAAGTATGAAAATTGACAGCAGGAAGCTTATTCTAAAACTTAATTCAGATGACAAATCTAAGGACAGTGATTACTGTGAAGTGAAGATTTTCGTCATTATTTTTTCTAGTGCAGCACCAAAGAATTATATGGTTCATCACTCATCACTTCTGGCATCCATGTATAATACATCCTGCCAAGAAATAGCTGCAGCCCTGAAGCGCAAGCTCTGTTTCTGAATTACAATTCCTAAGAGTCTTGCCTTTTCCTTTCGATATTTCAGCAGATAGAGATACACCATAACTATCAAGTTCTTCAGATATCGAAATAAGATTATTCAAGGCCATCAGTTGACAGGGTACACGGTGTCCTTTCTGCTCACTCAACTTAAAATATTCTGGGTCACCTTCGAATATAATTTCCAAAAGAATATACGGAAACTGAAAGCTAAGAAAGAGGGGAAACGTTACTTGGCACAGGGCCAAAAGCCAAATCACTCCCCTTCCAAACAATAACTTGCACTTGCACCTAACCCTTCCTAGCCCATTTCCCTCTTCTACATAACTCAATTCTCTGAACAAGGATATTGCAAAGTCCGATTGCGCATAACATCCTAACACAAGACAGACTTGCAATGCTCGGAGCCCACCAGTTATGGAATAACTTTTGCTTGGATACGGCATATCGGTCAAGAGATTTTTGGAGGTATGGAAGCCAAGTCTTCTCTGACACTGGATCTCTTCAAGGTGAAAACTCTGTATTTGCGAGGAGCAGATGAAGTGGAAAATGGTACTACTTCTACAAGCACTAAAAACAATAGCAGGCTACGGAAGGAGGTTGCTAATCTGATTGTGGCAATCAAATAGACATGGCAACTTTGGTAAGATCGCAATGTTTCTCCTACACAGTTTTTTGCTCTTATGAAGCCTTTTCAGGATGTTTTTATTCTCTGTCAAAATAGTACCTAAAAAACTAGTGATTATGGTAAGACGCGAAAGCTGTATTTATTGTAACAGAGGATTGGATGTTTGTAATAAGCTCTGATATTAGTTCAAGGGGTAAAAATTTTTATCAGGAAATGAGTTTCAACTGTTTATTGAGCAGTTTGCCTTCGCGACAGACAACGAGAAAGGGAAAGTGAAACGAAAATTGCAGTAGAACTATAGGAAGAACAACAACGTTTTTACAAAACCTTTTGAGCGGATTGATTGAATTACAATTGGGACTCAGAAATAAAAGAAAAAAATTACAAAAACTGTTATTTTACATTATGTAATAATACATTAAACTCTTTTAAGCATAATAACAGGGACCACAACATCCAACAACTTCAGAAAAACACACAAAATAACCCACAGTTCTTGCAAACAGGCGATAATGAATCGATATGCTCTCATTCAACCAGAGATTTCAACAGCTTTGACATCAGGTTTCTTGACTTCCTCTTTAGGCACAGTAACAGTAAGAACTCCATTCTCCATAGAAGCCTTGACCTGATCCATTTTGGCATTCTCAGGAAGCCTAAACCTCCTCAAGAACTTGCCACTGCTACGCTCCACACGGTGCCATGTATCATTCTTGTCTTCCTTCTCCACATTCCTCTCCCCACTAATCTGAAGCACTCTGTCATCTTCGAGTTCTACCTTCACTTCCTCCTTTTTAAGGCCTGGAAGATCTGCCTTGAATATATGGGCTTCTGGGGTCTCTTTCCAATCGATGCGGGTGTTGACAAAGGCTGAATTTTCGCGAGAGATGAGTGAATTGGAGTAAGCAAATGGGGAGAAGTCCTTGAATGGATCCCAGATGTCGAGGGAAGAGAATGGATCGAAAATGCTGCTGCCAGGGCGGCTATTGAAGAAGCTTGGAATCATTGCCATTCTTTACTTGCCAAAAGAATCGATCGCTTGTTTTGATTAGCTGCTCGTTGTATTTTAATTGGTTCTAATTCTTGATTTTCCTGAGGGTGCGTCAGAGAGGGGGGACAAGTCGGGTATTTATAGGAGGTAAGGAAGCATCTTGTTTATTCTAGACTAACGGAGTTGGATGCTGGTAGGGATTAAGGAAGGTTCAGGGTCCAACCAACACTGGAACATTGACGAACTTTCTCCTACATTCCTGAATCTTCATGGATGTGAATTGGAATTTTATGAACTTGAAGTTGGTTTGAATTTTTAATGGGTTTAGGCCCCTTTTTTCGCATTTTGCTTATGGGCCTTTTTCACTCGAAGACTAGGATGATCCTAAAAACCAATCAAAAACATTAAAGAGGTAAAATATGCATCTTTTTTCTCTTTTTCCTTCAATTTCTCAGCAACCAAACACGGTATGAAGATTCGAAATTTTTTAGGGTGCCTGAAGTTTGGTGCACTGATTCAAAATTGGGAGGAAGAAGGAATTCATTTGCCAGGCTAAATAAGCCAGAACGATGGCGTATAATTGTTTTAGTAGTCAAACCATCTTGCGCGATAGTAGAATTTTTTTATTTTCATTTTAAATTCAAGGGAAGGGCCTGAATACAGATATCATAAAGCCCAAATTCAATTAATTGAAGTCCAATAATCAAATTTATTTCATGTAGATTTTATGGTCACTTGTAGACGTGTACTTTTGCTGTTAATTTTTTCAATTAAAGTAATATTTATTGTACAAATTGTTCATGAAAAATAAATAAATTAATTAAAGTATTACATAATAATCTCTTTATGCTAATGAAATTTTCTCATTTAATTGTTATATTATCCTAGTATTTTTTTGTTCGTAATTTTTTTTCAATTTATTTTTTGCTAAAATTATTAGTTATTATATTTAAGAGTACATGATATGAAATTAATATTAATTTAAGAAAATTTTTATGTAAAATTAAAGTTGTGAATCAAAAAAAAAATCATTAAATTAATTAACAATTATGTTTAAAATAATTATAGAAAAATAGCATATTAATTGGAAAATATTTTACTCTCAAAATTTTGACATACAACAAAATCTTTATAAAAATAAATATTTTTTATGTAACAAAAAAAAATTCTCACATTTTCTATTCCTGACTAATAAAAAATCAATGTTTTTTTTAATATTTTTTCCTTCACACATACAAAAACCTTTAGCACAAAATTTCTAAAACATTGATTTTTTATTAGTCAAGAATAGAAAATGAGAGAAAGAATTGATTTTTTTATCAATTAAAGATATTTAAGAAAAATTTATTATTTAAAATTTTGACAAAATAAATATTTTAAAACACACACACACACACACACACACACACATATATATATATATATATTTATATATATATATATTACAGTGCTTTTAGAAAGAAAAAAGAAGTATAAATTTAACTTCAAATCAAATCATGTGACTAGGCAGGGGGGCACCAAAATTCCATTCTCAGCACATTTGATTGAAGAAGATAGGGCCTATTCAAGAATCCAAACGTACGTGGGCGTCAAGATTGTTGGAGCGTCTTTGTTCAACTTGTCCTTAACTCTATGTCCTAAAACCTACAATCCCAGTCAGAAATGGGGCAGCAAGCAACCGCGATCGATGGAATGTGGAGCCTCTTTTTAAAATTCACGGCAAGGGCATAAAACGCAAGTTCAAGTAGAAGTATTAGGGACTGTCCAGGTTCAATTACTCGAAGTGAAATAACCACATTTATTTCATTTATGTTTTATGGCCACGTATAAATCATATACTTCGGGTTTTTTTTTTTTGCTAGTTAAATTAATATTTTTTTAAAAAGAGGATTTAGTATTAAATATATAAATTAAGGATAAATTTAATATAATCATATTAAATTTCAACATTTTTTCAATCCAATGTATAAATTTTATTTTTTTATTTGAGTACACTAATTTTGTCAAAACTATCATTTTTTGTCTAATTTTTATTGATTACTTATTATATGATGACTTGTTATTTAATCCATTTTACTAAATTATGATTTTTTTTATTATTTTTGAAGAAACTTTTTCTCTCGTATTATTTATCCTCTTGTTTTTTTTTTTTTTTTTGGGATAGAGAAAAGAGTATAAAGAGAAGATTAGGTTGGTAGAAAGAATATGAGAGTATATTAGGCTAAGAAGACTTAGACAATTATGCTTTTATCGATAGATAACAACTCTTTATACAAAAGATACAAAAATATTGATACGAACTAAATAATACATATGATATTTACAAATTAGATAATGTAAGTCATGAAGTTTGCAAACTAAATGATGTAAGTTATAACATCAATATAATATTTACATCATTGTTGACATAAGTCAATATTATTATCACATTATATCAAAAAAAGAAAAAAATTATAAAATAATTTGGTAAGAAAAGCTTTCTTAAAGAATAAACTTGCAAAATCACAATTTAACATGCTGAGATAGAGAACACGTCATTAAATAATAAAATAATTAAGAAGAGTCATAAGAAAACCACTTAATTGATAACTTTGAAGAACTTAATATGTTCAAATGAAAAAAAAAAATTATACACTCAATTCAAAAAAGCTAAACTTAGGTGTTTTCCAATATAAATGTAACTTCAAATCAAATCATGTGACAATGCAGGTGGACACCACAATTTCATTCTCAGCACGTTTGATCGAGGATGATTGGACCTATTCAAGAACCCAAACGTACGTGGGCTTCAAGATGGTTGGAGTGTCTTTGTTCAGCTTGTCCTTACCTCTCTGTCCTAAACCTACAATCTCAGTCAGAAATGAGCAGCAGGCAGCCAGCAACCGCACTCGATTGAAGGGGGAGCCTCTTTTTTAAATTCATGGCAAGGTCATAAAACGAAAGTTCAAGTACGAATATTAGGGCCTGTGCAAGTTCAATTACTTGAAGTGAAATAACCAAATTTTTTTCATTTACGTTTTATGGCCACGCATAAATCATGTACTTCTGCTTCTCTTTTTTTTCCTTAATTAAATTAATATTTTTAGAAAAAAAGATTTACTGTTAAGTATATAAATTAAGGATAAATTTACAATAAATATATCAAATTTTAATATTTTTTCAATCAAATATATAAATTTTTTTTATTTCAGATTTTTCAAAACTGTCAATTACTTTTTTTTTCTAGCTTCTATCAATTATTCATTAACTACGTGTTATTTTTACCTCATACTAGCTACTAGATTATGATTTTTTTTTCCTTTTATTTTTTGCCAAAACTTTCTCTTCCAAATTCTTTTATCCTTTTTTTTTTTTTTTTTGAACATATAAGAGAGTATAAAGAGTACATTAGGCTAGTAGAGTGAAACAAGAGTATATATCTTTTTTATGGATATATTTCGATAAAAAATAATTAAATTTTATATATTCAATCGAAAAAATGGTTAAACTTAGGTGTCTTCTAATATAAATTCAACTTCAAATCAAATAATGTGACAATGCAACTACAATTGCATTCTCAGCACATTTGATTGATGAGGATTGGACCTATTCAAGAACCCAACCATACGTGGGCTTCAAGATTATTCCAGTGTCTTTATTTAAGTTGTCCTTAACTCTACGTCCTAAAGCCTACCATCCCAGTCAGAGTCTTAAATGGAGTAGAAAGCAACTGCAGGAAATACAGGACGTGGAGCCTCTGTTTTTGAAGTTTGACTCTACCAACTCTTGTTAACGTTTGAGACACTGCTACTGCCAGATAATAAGACGTGTACTCAACAATTATTCCCTGCACGAGGGGTTTGCCCTTCCTGTCGGTAAGGTAAAAAACGTCTTATGGCGAATTCATGAATCTTGAATTGAAAACAAGGGCCGAGATGCCATCACCGCTTGAGTAAATAATTGATGCCATGATCAAAATGTTAGTAACCGTCGCCACAAATACCATCTTTAATGTGTTGGTTGAGACTGATCTGAAGAAGAAGAAGAAGAAGAAGTTGTAGAATTTAGTTTCTGTCATTGGCTCTTCCATAAAGTGATATATCGATGTTTAATGATCTCCTCAATGTATCATCAAATTATTACACATTCATTTTTCTTCCCAAAAGAAATTATGCAGATCCATGAGGTAAGTGCAATAACAAGTGTAATCTTAAGAGATTAGTCTTGTGATTAAAAAGATTTGTTTTTTTCTTTAAATTTTTATGTTTAAATCTTATGCTAGGAACTGAATGAATTTATTAAAAATAAATAAATGTATTAAGCTAATACGAGAAATGTGTTTTTAAAATTGTCTAAAAATATATACATAGTTTTGATCAATATGCAAACTTATTTAAAAATATTTTTATTGTCCAAGAAAAACAACTGGTGTTGATATTATCATAATTGAATTGGACCAGCATGTTGAATAAAAAAATCAAAAAATAGAATTTGAAAAGACTTGTTCAATCAGGTAGGATTTTCTATAAAACTTGAGGAATTTTTTCAAGTTTATGTTCTGATTAATTCCCATGAATTAGCAAAGTTTTGTAAGAAAAATTCTATCCCATCTAACATTCTTTCAGAAGACAACAAAGAAAATCTTGCCGACCAGTAACCCATCAATTGAACCAGTAACCAAGCGAAAGCTCCCTCTATCTACGGTAGGGTCATCAATCAAGCTATTTTTTGCTCCCTCGAATTTTCGTACATGATATTATTTTTTTATCTTTACTCCATTGGACTGTAAAAAAACAATTGTTAAGAAAATAATGTGAATTATATTTTGAAATCTTAACAAACAATTTTAACTTTTAGAATGAAATATTTTTTTGACAAAATATCAAATTTGCGCAATTAGAAGTAAATTATATCTTATATTTTTATTCAATAATTTAAATTTTTGTGTTGGGAAGCGGATTTTCGACAAAATATTGATATGGTTAGAGGCTTTTTTTATGAAATATTTCATAGCAAAATTCTAATTTTTCTGGTGACATCGCTCATAACTCAAGCCAATGGATTCGTTTGAGTTTAACAGGATGCAGTCAGGTGTTCAAGATTAATTAAGGAGTTCACCACCCTTTTTAAGATTTGAATTATTAATTAATCAAGGAGCTTATAATTTAGTCAAAAAGGTGATTACAGTAATATATCAGGATAGCCTTGCCAGCTTAACTTTAGACCGTTGGCACAAAATAAAGGTGGGAAATGTCTGGCATTTCTTGTCAATTTGAAGCCAAATCTATCCGTGATTTTTCTGTTAAATTTGATTCAAACTAATGATTTTTCTTCTTGCTTTATATATAGGCTGTTAAGCTAATCACATGTCGAGATCTTCAGGTGCGGATGCTTGCTCAATAATTAAAGATTGCTAGTTTGGATTGTCCAATGTCTGTGGTTTAACCGGCAACCCCAACCAAAAAGTATGAAAACTACCCATCAAGGTTCAGATTTGAAACAATACGCCAAAACCACTATATATATCTCTTATGTGGTTATGCTATTTCTCCAAAGCCTACATGCCAATATGTCAAAAAGTTTGAAAAAACATCGATAAAGCTTGTAGATCATTGCCAATTTGAGAATCTAAACAAATCCTTTGAATTGACTGCGTCACATATCGGCCAAATGCTAATGAACAAAATTTTGAGGAAATCTCCATTTAACGCCTAACATATTACTCCATTATCAGTTAAGTCACAAGCTTTTTGGTTTCCAAATATAGTGAACATTAGAAAATGCATGGCTCCATCCATGTGTTATTACTTACACCTAAAGAATTCCATCTAATTTGCATCGGTTTTGTATATATTTGTCAAGTGCATTCATCTAAGACGTAGAAATAAGACTAAATCTGGCATAAATAATAATGATTGTAACAAAAACTTAACATAAGAAAGTTTTAAGCATCAAAATTCTTCATTTATACTATTAATTGTCATGGGCAGTTAATTGGAAGGAAATTTAGGATATTTTGCCTCTTAAAAATTATCTTTTCCTAGTGTTGAAACTGTTATTTTATGTTAGATGGACGGAGAGGTAACATTGTCTAACATTGATTATATTTAGGGAAAATCTGACGAAATCCAAAGGTTTGAAATTTAATTGACAAAAGAGTAAAACATTAGAAACAAAATTAAAGTTTTCCAAATTTTAAATGAAATCAAGCTGTTTAATTTGTGGGACAACGGTAGCATGTTTTTGCAATGAGTATGAGAACTAAAATGTCCAAAATCATGATCTTGGTATGTCTTTTTGCGAGTGAAACGATCTCAATGACAGTAACCTTGCAACTTCCCCTTCGGTGAAAGGCTTGAATAAAGATTCCTTAAAGACAAGTAGGGATATGGCATCCATTTCTTAGGTCCAAGAAAGGAGCACATGGGAAGGACATGGAGAAAAGTTTAGCAATACCGTATGCTTCAATTTCAGAGAGGAAATCAAAAGTACTCTCCACTCCAAAATTATTCCACACAAATCAAAAAGAAAGAGAACAAAAGGCCTGCCATATGTGATGATCATGTCTGTGGGAAAAAAAAAAAAAATTAAGATCACACTAAGAATTTCAAATTTCAAGAAAAAATGCGTGGCACTAACCATCAAGGACCCCATTCATGTGCAAAAGCAAAAAGGTTAAGACAATGGAAACTGGACAATTTTGCTGTGTGAGGTGGTGGAGCAAAGAAATTGCTGGCTGGTGGGTCTATAGGCCATGCAATGCATTTATTGTACTTTTCCCATTTACTGAGTTGGATTTGCTGTCCAAGAAAGGGTGATTTTTGCTAACCCTAGTGGTGAAATGTGTCATGGAGCGTGACAGTGGACAGACAAGACTGTGGAAGTTGACGCAAGAATAATATCCGTGTATATATATACTAGGTTTGGGTTTGCACGTTTGGTGTTCACGGGTGCAGGAGCCATGGGAGCGATCAAGCACTTGGTGATTGTTAAGTTCAAGGAAGGTGTTGTGGTCGAGGAAATTGTAAAAGGGATGGAGAAGCTGGTTTCAGAAGTTGATCTTGTCAAGTCCTTTGAATGGTAAGTCTTCATTATTTTATTTAATTAGCCCTTTGCTTAATTCTATAGGCAAATTCAAGCACTAATGTGTTGCATATTGGTCTTGACAGGGGACAGGATACTGAAGGTCCAGAGATGCTCACACAAGGCTTTACTCATTCCTTCTCCATGGAATTTGACAAGAAGGAAGACTATGCTGCATTTCAGAGCCATCCTAATCATGTTGAATATTCTGCAACATTTTCAGCAGCTATTGAGAAAATTGTGGTGCTTTGTTTCCCATCTGTTCGTGTTAAGCCATCTGCATGATCTAGAACTTCTCATAATAATAAAAGGCAAAAAATTTGTACTTTTTATGTGTGTTATAAAGTGTGAAATTAATCGATATGCGTTTCCTTTGTATGATTGTTAGTGGCTATTTCCTCTAGCTCACTCCATGGATTTTCAATTTCTGTATTATGGAAATATTTTATGATGCTTTTGCTTTTTGATCGTATTTCTGATGAGTAGACAGTTTGCCCTACTGTGTGAAATTTATAATTCCAGTATCGTTTTCTCACTTTTGAACCTTATACTTGTTAGTCAAAAGGTGATAGAATTACTTTTTTGACTTTGTCGCAAAACCTTTATCTTAATGTAATCAATTAGCCTTAATCATGAAGGTCCCATCACCCACGTTAGCAAATAGCAACGCTGTCTGAAATTCGGCTCTTCTCCGGTTCAAAAAAGCATGGATAAATAAATAAATGATAGACTAAACTGTTCTATGGCTACTTCACTGCTCTGCCTGGATCTATTCTCAAATTAATATTTATTTGTACAATGAGAGCTAATCAGCAAGTGGGCTAATGACCCGTCAGTCACATACGTTTCATGAGGTACTAGAATAGTGAGAACAAAGGGATGAACCTGCAGAATCTAAAGAAAGGGTGGCAAAAGCAACATTTCACTGGAAAAGGAGACTTGCAGAAAATAAAAAGGGTCCTTGGGATCTACTGAAATTTCAAATTCCACAAAAAAGGAGAGGAAAGAGAAAATAAAAGATGGAACCTAGGAGAAACATACGGTGAATCAATGTTCTTCCATTTTGGTTATTAAAGGTGGTCATGCCAGTTGCCGCCTATGGATTGCTATTTACAAGATTAAAAGTAGATTCTCTCTCTTTTTTTTTTTTTTTAATACTTGATGAATAGAAATAGATTCCAAGTTATCTACTTTCATCTGGTCATACAAGGGCGGGAGCCCTTGAAATTATCTTCAACTGTTCACCATTAGTTCAAAGATCAACCAGCAAAGAACAAGAAAAGAAATGAAAATGTGTACTTCTAAGAAACTCAAGTTCTTGTATCTTGATCTTCTAAGTCTCACCCTCAATTTCTTCTTCACTACTTCTCTATGCCAGGATACTTCCACAAGTTTTTGTGGAAAAATCCAAATGCAAACTCCTTTCTTGAGTTCAAATTCAACTGCTACAGTCCCGTTAAACCACATGATCCTATGCAGATCTCAGAAACTGTACTTTAGAACCTCTCTTGGTCTTTTTCCAGTCTCTTCCATTGATTATGCAAGTAAAACACTAACCATTTCTCATCCTTCTTGTTCGTCTTCAAGGCACTACATCTCTCCTTCACTTCTATCTGCTGGTTTTCCAATTCCACCACAACCCAATTCACTTCTTCTCTTTAACTGCTCAAACAGTAAATCTCCCAAGTCATCATTTATGCTTAACTGCAGTCACTTGAATCCATGTGCAGCTTCTGCTAAAACTCAAGGGCAAAAACTTGAGGCCCCATATTCCTGTTTACTTGTGGATGATCTTGAAAAGCTTGACAAGGCTTTTCATCCAAAAGATTTGAACTGTTCACATTACAGCCAAGTGTATAGAAGGTCTCTAAATGATGACGACTACAAGGGATATGAATTAGGTACAAGGATATCCTTTGACATTCCTGATCATGCGCCAGATATCTGTAGTGAATGCCAAAAATCTAATGGAAATTGTGGCGTTGGGTTGAAGTGCATCTGCCACCCTGAAGATTGCAGTAAGCATCCTCATCTGTGATCTCTTTAATGTTTGATTTGTCGGTTTATTCTCTAGTTCATCCAGTTTTTAACGTTGGTTGGTTTTTAACGTTGGTTTTGCAGAAGACAAGGTCATTTCTATGGCAGGATCAACTAAGCCTATTTCCAATGTCCTCTTATCTGTACTTTCTTTCTTTGTAGTGTTGGTTTCCTTCTTCAATTCTTGATGCAAGAGAGCTTAAACCCTACACACCAGTTCTTGATTTCTTTTCATGTTCCTGTTGTAATAAAATTCAACTTGCCTCTCTTCATCCTTCTTATTGCATGTTTAAATTGCGCCTAAGCATGGCATTTCCCATGACTGCATAATTCAAGATGGGCCATCATGAAATGGATGACTAAGGGAACCAGCTTAAAAATTAATTCAGAAGTGACTAAAGGAGAGCAGATGACAAATGATGCAACAAATCCAACATGAAGGGCATGATTAGTGCGAAACAAGGCAACAACAGTAATAAATTTATAGACCATGTAGCCCTAGTTGGCCCCAAGGGTCAAAAATGGCTTTATGTGCAACTTGCAATGCTCTAGCATCCATTACAAAGTCAGATGAATTCAACTACGAATCCAATGTTCTGGTCTTTTACAAGGTTAGGTGCAAGAGAAAATTAGAGTGATCTTTTACATAATTATTTGCTGCATCGTACGTAATCAAAGGAAGATTAACTCTTCAGGAGTAATTAGTACCTCCCTCGCTAAAGGAAGTTGATCTTCAGAAATATGTATCCTAGCCTCCTAGGTGCTTCTTGTAAACTGCCAGACCATTGAAAGCTGGTTAATGATGTGTCTTGGGATGTTTACGAACATAGCCAATACCAAAACCTAAAGAATTAGTTGGAAAGACTCAAAAAAATCCGTAGATATTCCACTGCTAGTAAAAATTATATATATATATATAAAAAAAAATCTCACCAAAAATTTATTAAAAAAAAAAAATCTTCTATACATGCATAAGCTGCCAAAATGACATACGAACAACATTGTCATCATAGAGTTGATGGCTGCTCTGCCATGGCAGAGGCACATATATATCCACAGAATTATTGAAAAACCACAACAAAAAGAAACCAATTTTGAAATCCGTGTCTTCACTCTTATGCAAATGCAACAGCATAGACCATAGTATCGTGCTGCGTCCATATGGGCGGTGCTCTTTATTGTTGACAGAGCAGATCTGTAACCTGCATAATTGACTGATACAGACCTTGATGTTGCGTCAGATTATTATTATTATTATTTTATTGTGTAATTTTTATTAAAACTATACAAAAGTTTAATCGATAAAAAAAAATTCTGAATTTTTGGTCGAAGGTAATTTAATTTTGAACTATCAGGTCAAAACAATTGATCGTCTCGTTGAACTTTAAGCTTCGATCCATATACCTCGTCAAGTAACACATGGCGTGTACATGTGCAACCATTCTCCTTCGAAAAACATTTCCCTCTTCCACTAACACTTGATCGTTGACTGGAATTATTTTTTTTAGGGGAAGATTGGTAGGTAATGGAACAGAGATTTGCTGGGACAATAATTAGAAAAGCATGAGAGGTAGGTTATAGGCGTGTGGGGATGGATGGCGGTGCATCTTGGAAGAGATATCTCGCGATTTGTTTATTGATCTTTCTCTAACAATGTTAATGCATTTCTTGCTGTCTTTTCCAGAGAAAACACGACATCGCTTCTTCTTACTTTTTCTTTTTTACCATTTATAGGCGATTGTTTTTATCCCTGGAATTTTATTTTCCTTTTTTTTTTTTGGCTTTTTCTAACTATTTTGCAAATGATGTTACTGCTTTTTCATTAATGTATAAGAATTATAAATTACAAATTAAACCTGATTGTTGTTTTTGTATTAGTTTGAGTCTCTTAAAAGTTATTTTCAACATCAACAAGTTATAAATCAAAATATAAGTGTCTTTTTTTTATCAGCATGTAAGTATCACCATGTAAGGTGGTGTTGAATAAAATTAAAAATTAAATATTAAATTTAAATAAAAACATTTTTAAAATTATTTTCAATCACAAATAAAAAATCATAACTAAATTCAAATAAAGACATTTTTAGAATAACGAATTTCTATAAGAAAAAAAATTCAATTTAATATGACTAGCAAAACAAATGATCCCTGCACGTTAATTATATGAAAAGAAATGAAAAAGGAAAAATAATTTTTGTTCCCACGGTAACACCTGGGCATTTTACCGAGTAAATTATAAATTAATCCTTTAAGTTTTTTAAAAAATGAATAAATTAATCTTCTTTATTTAAAAACTAATTCTGTAACCTCTGTATTTTTAAATTTTCTTGTAACTTAATTTTTTTAAAAATTTTTAATTTAATTTTAAATAAATAAAAAAGGAAAAAATAAGTTCAAAAATATGGAAGAATCGATAATAAAAGATTATTTTTTTGAAAAAAATATTAAATTACTCATATTGATCAATAGACTAAATTATTAATTTTTGAAAAAACAAAGACTATTTAATTCGATTTTCGAAAATAAAGGGATTAATTTATAATTTACTCGAATTTTACCAGTACTAACGATTAACTAATAAGCCCATTGCCTTTGTTTAAAAAAAAAAAAGAAGCTATTTATAGCCTGTAGGCATTCAGTAGGCCCAAAATTGCTTTAATCTGGACTTGGAGGTTGGCCATTCTCCCAACTATTAATGGGTTTAAAGCCCGCCACATAAAAAAATAAAGGCCCACCCACTCTTACGTTTTCCTCAAAAAGAAAACCATTGTTTCCAGCATAAAGTTTGGGCCTTTTGCGGAGAAGTCTCTGAAGGCCCACTTTTTGGGTTTAACCTTTGCGTTTCTCTACTTGCCAACTTGACAAATCATAATCATAAAGAATAAATTATAAGTTAATCCCTTTGTTTTCAAGAAAGGAATTAATTTGTCCTTCTTTTTCCAAAAATAATTATTTAATTTCTTAATCATCGGTTGACCATGTTTGATTTTATATTACTTTATTTTGAAAATATCATTTTTTTTCTCACCAATACTTCTATTTTTTTTTATCTTTTTTCTATTTCCTAAAACAAAAATAAAAATAAATTTTAAAAAGGATTAATTTATAAGAAAATTAAAAAATATAAATACTAGATAATTATTTTTTTGAAAAAAAAAAGAAACTAATTAATTAATTTATCAAAACTAGATAGACTAATTTATAATTTACTCTAATCGTAAGAGTAGGTCAACTTCCTTGAGTTTAAAAATCAAATTGAATGGACTTGCCATAGAGTTTAAATTATATAATTAAGGAATGGAGACACTGAGTAGGCGGACAACTAGTTTATGGTCAAATTTTGTGGCCAAAAACCAAAGGACCAAATCTGAGAAAACACGAGTATCGCTCCCTTCGTGAAAACTTTCCTCTTCTTTCCCCTGCTAATTAAGGAGTCCATTTCGTATTGAATAACAACACAGTTTGAGAGCATCCCTTCGGATTATGGGAGATTTGGAAGAATAGATTTCAATCTAGATTTGAAAGTGAAAAGGTGTCAGCAGATCACATTATAAGGCATGTTAAGTCTCGGTTGCTTGAAATATTTTTCGTCTATTCTTTTTTAAAAAAAGGCCTAAAGCTGATTTGTCATGTATTGAGGCAAGATAGTATTGGCATTTACCATACAGGAAATGGCTGATGTATTGCTTAAGTTTTTGGGATTTAAACTTTCTTGTCTCTCTTACTCTTCAGGATAAGGCTGATTTGTTCCTTTTTTGTACATTTTTTTTTAAAATTAGTCAGATTACTGCTCCCGTCTGTTAAAAAGAAAAAAAATAGCAACCCTTCTCTGCGTTTTTTTTATGGAATTTCAGATTTTATAACGTGCTTCTTAAAGGACAATGTTAATTTATTCATTTTTGTTTTTTTTGTTTTTTGGTGTGTGGAATTGAGCTCTAAAATAAAAATAAAATCGGCCATGTTTATAAGCAGTGAGCCGTAAGTCCCAAAAAAAGGCATGGTACTGACTTCTAATGATATTTGGTATATATGCAAGCTAGGCAAACTAATGAGTGCAATTAAACATTAGAGTAAATTATAAATTAGTCCCTCTTGGTTTGAGAAACGAGTTAATTATTATTTTTTATTTCAAAATTTAATTTATTTATTTTTGTCCATTTGATACTATTACTAATTTGTTTCTCTTTTTTTGAATAAAAATAAATAAATATTATGAAAATATAATAAATTTTTTGACATAAAGTAATATTAAATTAATAATAGTCAAAAAACTAAATAATTAATTTTAAAATAAAAAGGACTAATAAATTCGTTTCTCAAAACTAGAGGAACTAATTTATAATTTACTCTTAAACATTAACGTGGATGACCTTTGAACTAGGAAATATAGTGGTCCTAGAGAGAGAAAAATCCTGTCAATTGTACGAAGATAGGGATGGTCTTACTTAATTTATAAGGTTAGTACGTGAACCAGCAATATATAAACATGCCATGGATTGACCGGCACTTTATTTGCTTCGAGTTTGCCTTGCCAGAATGGCAGAAGGCATGCTCTTAATGACTATGCAACTACCCAAAGTTACTTCAAGAAAGCCCGTTTTAAGTTCAATCAAAAACAAATATTAAATAAGTATATCAACTTTCCAAAAATTACAAGAACCAATCTCATGATTTATTGATAAATCACTGGATTTATTGAAGCAATTTAAGAAATTGATTGATTTATTTAGTAATAATATATTTGATTTATTTCAACTTATTTACCTATCACATATTAAAAATACGAATTATTTGTAATCTCTTCATATACTAACTAACTAAAATATATTATATAATCTTTTGTGACTTTTATGTTTGAAGAGCAAACTCTCATAACCGAATCACGTTAATTTATTTATCTTTAATCATTCATTTTTGCTATTCAAAATTCAAGAGTCTCCCTTCCTTTTACTTTCAAGTTTCTTGTCGAGAATTTGGAGAGATGAAAGAATATTTGTCTAATAATTGACTTGGATTTTCTATGGATCTCGTTTTGTGCTAATTAAGTGCCTAACATTATTGAATCTGGTTGGAGAATGCTTCTGGTCCCTTGTGTCTGGGATCCTCAGTTACACATTTTATAGCATTAGATTTCTATCATTTGTGAGTAAATAATTAATATCCTTTCGAAAATTGTTTGAGATTTTTTTTATATGAGAATTATTTTGATTTGTATTCTCTCGTGTTTTTTTTTCTTCAGAAAATGAATCTTACTAGTAATTCTAAATTTCATTATTTGAATTAAGTGTGAGATAAAAAAGAAGTTAAGTTGTTACTATTTTTATCAAAAACTAAATTATATCTATTAGTTTTAATTCAATAATTTAGATTTAACAAGCATGACATACCACCAAGGGACGTTGCCAAACGCTAAAGAAATTGTTTTGTTTTATCAAAATTAAGATTCAATTTTCACTATTTATGAATAATTAGACATGGTTATTTTTCAATAATATCATATTTAAGCTAATTTAGTTTAAAAAATAGTTCAATAGTTGATCAAAAGGTATGTATATTCTAACGCTAGTTTAACCTAATTTGGCTTAAAAAATGGTCCAATGGTTGTTCAATAGGTATGTGTATTCTAGCGTTGTTTTACCCTAATTTAGTGATCTATCAAATGCTAGATGTGTTTTGATACATGTTTAAAAATAATAAACTTAATGTCGATCACTAATAAACCAATATAAAAAATACACTATCATGTTAAAAAAAAAAGATAATATTCTGATTTTAACTGGTATATATGAAATGCATGAATATTTTCTTCCTTTTCAACTAGCAACAAATATTTAAATACAGGGGGACGAAAGGGTATTGGCAATCCGCCCTCTAAACCCAACATTTCTTCTTGGCAGGAGCCACTTGACAGTCTTGGCTAAGTTGACTATCCTTCCAGAAACTGTAATGGAAGTGCCCACAAAATTGAACAGAACTAACCAACTTTACTTTCATTGGCTTTGGCGATCAACTTGAGAGAGACATAAAATTCCTGCCTGATGTCATGACCACATTGTGCTCTGAGATGCTCCATTAAACAGTATTGGAATTTACTGTCAGTACGAAGATATGATGTCCTAGAGAAATTTAAGAGGACTTGGACCTTCCTTGGCACTAAAAAACAAGCAGAATCAACCTGACCCAGGAATACAAGAAAGTAGTGACAATACGAAGATGCATTTCACAAAGCAAATCCAGCCTAGCTAGCTACCATTCTCGTCTTCACAGACTTTTCCCTTCACCAGCCCCTTTTCTTTTTCTTTTTTGCTTATCCAGTCCTTTTTTTCAGATGTGTCTATGCCCTAGCTTGTTACGCGTTGAAAGACGATGGCATTTGGGTTGATTGGTTAAAAACAAAGATGCCTACACGGCTTAAATCACAAGTACAATATATAGGTAAAGAGCCACCCAAGAAGATCTTGTGGATCGGGGTTATGCAACAATAGATCCTTACCTCCTCTGACTGTGTAAAATGTCCAAGAGCTGTGCAAAATCCCACTGATAAGAAATGGAATTTTGCCTGTACTAACTAAGACATTGATTTTAAATATTGGGCCAAATGGTAATATGAAGACTGAGGGGACCAAAGAGGTACAAGAGGACCTTAAAAAAGTGTGACTCCAATTACCACCAAGTGAGGACAAACCAAGTATTGAAATCTTAGTACCCCTGTTTGGAATAAATACAAGTTTACAACATCACAAGCTTGAATTGAATTTGTGGGCCAAAGTTCTTTTGGATCAAACTGAATTAAGTTGACTTATGTCTAAAAGATCACAAGCTTGTTCCCACTTCGCTTAATTGCACGGCGCCAGCTTTAATTTTTGAAAGCTTCAACTGCTCCAACATTTATATAGCCGAAAAATGTGGATCCCAGACCACAAAATTCAGAGAGGTAACAATTTAGCTACAAAAGACTGAATTTCCTAGCCTAGTTTTGAATCGTGAAAAAGCATGGTTCTGCCTATGTTCTGGTAGAGTAATGCCTCATGGGTTTAGGAATATCAACCAAAAATAGGATGATGTTGTCCGAAACCAGACAATTACATCCTTGGGTCTTGAAGCAAATAGGAGAAAAGAGAGAGGACTAGTTTAGCTTCACAGTGCATAACCAAAGCGATGTGGTGGGGATCGAATCTTTGGGAATTCTCCAAAACAACGCATCCACAATTTAAAGTTAAAAATTTTACTATCGAATATTAAATTCAAACTACTAGAAGAGATGAAAATCAAATGTAAGAATTGAAATAAAAGTTAATTGATTATAAAATATCCTGAATTATTGTTTTAAAAAAAATTTCTAACCGCTTTTTTTCTAAGTTAGGTCTCCAACTTTTTTTTATTCATAATTGAATTTTTTTCATTTTGTTGAAATAAAAGACACTTAAAGCCATTAAATCAGTAACACGTATCCTAAGAACCTTAAAAATAAGACATATATCATTATTTTATGACTTTTCATATTTTTTATTTATATTCAATATGGACTGTAATATTAATTAATGAGATGAAAAAACTTAATTGTAAATTATTAAAAAAAATTGAAGACTCCAATTGGGAAAGAAAAAAAAAAAACGAACTACAGAATGGAGAATAGTACAAAACCTTGGCAATCTCTTAATGGAGGACATCCTCTTGAATCAGGTACTAATGTTGCATGGGATTTGCCAATTACTAATTAATGCCGGTGGAGCTCAATGCTCCATTGAGTAGAAATGCAGTATCTCCATAGATATAATGCATATAAAAAATATTAATCTTGATCAGTTTTGCCATTTGGTCAAAATACAAAATATTAATCTTGATTATATATGTTAATCAAACAGGAAATTCTTAATGACCTTAGAAAAATTCGGTAACAAAAACATAACATGTTTTTCTTAAACTAAAAAAAAAAAAAGGAAAATCCGGAAATGGTAAAAAAGTACTAATAATTACCATGATGTTCAACTTTATTTTGTTCTTACAAGGACAAAAGAAAAAAGAAAGGAAAACAATCTTCATTGACATCCTTCACAATCTCGCTAGTGCCTTAAGCTTTTTGTCAAATCTTCATTGATATGCTTCAAAATCCCTAAAAGCTTGTTAGGGTATCTTTTGCTTCCTTCTTTAGCTAATTTGAACCTTCCCAAATAATCTCCCATTCAGTACTAGCTCTTCAAATTTTGGATATCACATAATTTTTGAAAATTTCAAGGTCATCCTTAGCCTTAAAAAACAGACAAAATGATCCGAAGAAAAAGAGAGAGAGACAGGTAGGAAGATAAAAATCAAAGAGCCAACTAATTAAATGTCATATCTAAATTTCACATTTCTTCTTCTGAACAACTAGAATTATTTCTTATGTGATCACAAGAATTCAAGTATCTATGCCTTTCAAGATGAAAGAAAACCCAAAAAAAAAAAAAAAAAATCAAAGATCAAAAATGAAAAAACAAAACATGAATAACGTTAGTAATTTTCTTCAAAGGCTCTTACTGGCATAAATCAACAAAGAGAATTCAACCCTTTCTTGCTCTTTCTGCTCCAATTTCTCCTCCAACCACAGTCTGCTATCCATTCCACTTCTTGTCCTGAACATGAAAACAGCATAACCGGAACCAGGATTATAAAACCAGTCGTGGACATCCCAAAGCAGATCAACAAGCAACCCATCAAGAAAAATTGTCTGGTTGCCTCTAAAATTCCATTGCAGCCTCTTTACACGAATCACTGTCTTCTTATCAATATAAACAGATAAAACAGGATGCTTCAAGCCTTCATTTTCTCCACTACACTTGATCACGATATCATGTTGAATTCCTGTGTCACAAAACTGTGCCTTTGTTGTATATAAAGTATTGCCTGAACAATGCTCTTGCCTTGAAATGAGAGTGGCTTTAGCTACTGGGGTACTGCTAGTTTTGAGCTTCTTGGACAAAGTTTCTTCTCCTGTGTCACCCAAAATTAAGCCTATTTCTGAATCAACCATGACCAGGACATAAAACCCTTCAACAGGTTCAGGCCCTAACTCATACTTAGCCGAAGAAAGATCCCAGAAGACTTCAATCTTGGAAGTATCAGATTCAATCAATTTGTTGCCTTTCATCTTTCTAAAAAACCTGGTGTGAGTGTTGAGCTTGAAAGAAGTTGAAGGGTCGTTGCCAAATTTAATGCTAAGGCCTTGAGTAGTGTGGTTTTTGGACCAAGAGACTGTGGCCAAGAGTTGTTTTTGAGTTGGGAGAACGATTTTATAGAAGCAGGAGACTGCATTTTGGACAGATGGGGTTAGACTTGGAGAGATACAAGCATTGCTTGAATAACTAGAACATGACACATCTATGGCATTTTCACTAAAACAAGAAACTATATCTCTCATTGTAAATAACAAGAACAATTCTGTTGATGAAGATATGGAATAAACTTCAATTGGGTTCTTCAATATGCAGAGAGAAAGAGAGAGAGAGAGAGAGATCTGAGCGTTAAGAGAGATGGGAGTTTCTCTTTTGGCTTATAGTAAGAAGAAAATGAATAGGTTAAAGGGTGGCCACTGGCCAGGGTAGGTGCTCTTTTGAACTGTCTTTCTTTGAATTTTTTTACAAGGAAAATTCATATTACAGGAGAGAAATAAGGAAAGAGCAGGCAAGAAAACCTATAGTCCTGCCAGCCCCATTTATATTTTATACGATTCTCTCTCTTTAAAATTCTCTCTCTTTATCTCTCAGCTTAAATTATACATCTTATAAAAAGCCAAAGAAAAGAAGGTTGTAAGCTGTGGCTTGTAACCCTAAAAAAAAAATATTAAAAAATTAGAAGATTGAGGTGCCAGTTCATTTTTTTTTAAAAAAAAATAGTAAAATAAAGATGGGGAGAAAAGGAAGGCAAAGGGAAAAAAGAGGTTGGACCTGGTCTTAGTACCAGCATCATTTATGAGTATGTGACATGATCATCGTTCCGTTCCTTGCCTTCTGTATGTAATATAAAGAGAAAAGAATAATTAAAAGAGAAAAATTAAGATATATCATTTTTTTTATTAAGCTACTATCAGAATATCCTTATTTTTGTAGTGAATTACGAACTGTTTTCTAAATCAAATCAATTCAAATTTGATATTATTTAAAAATAATCATGACTATCTATATATATATAGATAATAGGAATTAAATCTTAATCTTAATCAAACTAAAATAATTTATTTACTGTTAGATCATCCAATTGCTCTTTTTAAGTAATGGGGATTTTTTTTCTTTTAATCATTCCTTTCGATTACAGAAATTAGAAGGTGTTAACCGCTAAGGATAAAGTAAGAAAGTTCGGCGAAAAAATGGAGGACAGTAAAACATAGAGGAGCCTCACTAGAAATCTTGGGTATTTTATGATGGAACAAAACTTGTGTGTGAATTTCTGAGACATAATGTATGGGTAGTGAATTTAGGACCCCACAAAATAAATTGTCTGAAAACCAGTGACCCACCAACTCCTACTCCCAACACGCCTATGATTAAAAGCAAGGAATAATGAGATGCCTTTTTCCTTGTTTTTATAACTTTGATTGACTCTCACCATGAAATTAAAATTTATAATTACGAGGAGAAATAAATGCAATGAACTATTAATATGAAATAATTAATATTTCAATTAGTGATGATCGTGCTTGTTTCAAGCTTAGATGAAAAACATCCGGCGGTTGGAGAAGGACTTTTAAAATAAATGCAAACCTAGAAATTAATTAACCATCCTTATGAAATATATTTTTTTTTTCACTTTTTTGGTCATTCGACTCCTCCGGTCAGATGGGGTTTGATATATTCAAATTTGTTTATAAAAGGTGTAGATATAGATGATGTTTAGTTCTTGGAATTTAACCTTTCTTCTAAAAGCTAATCCTCCAAAAAAAAAATGATGATTGGTATACAAATGGGAAAGCATGGATTCACATCATCACATGCAACAATTTTTTTAAGAGATTAAATCCAAAACTGAAAATGTATACAAATTTACAAGGAAAAATAACTAAGAAAAAAAACATGAACATTAGAATTGTGAATGAATTCTCTTTATGGTATTATAAATCAGGATACATGTTTGTTTTTATATAATACTTAATACCCCTAAATTTTTAATTGAATCTCATTTGTTTCTAAATTTTTTTAAAATATTTAATCTGTCATTTTGATCAAATTTTTCGATCATAAAAGTTTTTTTTTTTTAATGAAAATGCTTATTACTAAAATGTAAAAAAAAAAAAAAATCAAAAAACGAAAACACAAAAATACTTAAAGTCGCATAACCTAAATGTTCTATATTTGAAATTTTTAGATTTTTTTTTCATTTCAATAAGAGGCATTTCAGTAAAAAAAAAAATATTTAGTAAAAAAATTAGGTCTGGATGATAGATTAAACATTTTAGATACATTCAAAAATAAATAAAATACAATTAAAAACCCAATGAAAGACTTTACATATTATATAAGAACAAATGAGTATGTTTATCCTATAAATTATTCCAAAAGGATCCCCTCCCTTCTCCCGTACCAATTCCCCAAACAAAGATAGATCATACATTAATTAATTGTTTGGATAAAAATAATAATTATTATAATTAAAGCTCTAGAAGGTTGCATGAATAAAAGAAAAGAAAAAGAGAGCTATGATTTAATACTTTGAAAAGCTTAAAGCAGTGGTTAAAAGGAAAGCAAAGCAGAAAGACATGACTTGTGATTAGCACATGCAGGCGTTAACGTTATTATTATTGTAATGAAACATAATAATTAATGGAATGAAAAAAAAAAAAAAGAAGGAGAGGAAGGTTTTAATTGAGAAATGGATAGGGGCATGGAGGAATCTGTCCTAAAAGCATAGAAAACAGTCTAAGTTGGGCATCATTGCACACCTGTTTGGGCACCACAATAGAAGAGATGAGGCATGCTTGTGTTATGGACCACAGGATGGTTTGGTCCTACACCAAGGGCATGTTCCCTCGTTAATTATGATATATAAAGCAAACTGTTAAGTTGAAGGATCCTGAATCAAATCCTCAAAAGAGAGAGAGAGAGAGAGATTTTTGGGTTTTGAACTATAAAACTAGAAGTAGTTGTTTTTGTAAGATAATAATTAAATAAATTAAAACTATTAATATTTAAACCTGTTTTATAAAAAAAATAAAATTATCAAATGCATAACCACTAAATTTTTTGAGCTGTATACTCCTCAAAAAATATCAGAAGATTCTTTTTAGTGCCTTGGCAGCTTAGCATCTCATCAAGACATCAACAAAATATTATGATTTTCCTTTTTTTTTTTTTCCAATGGCTAGACCATAATCAAAAGGTGTATATATATATATAACCACCTTTGATATCATGTGTTGATTTAATTACTTAGATCTCAAGTTTGTTACGAGCAAATCAAGTGGCTCGTGCTGACAAAATAAGAAAACACCTATCATTGTTAATTATTCATTAGTATCAGTGCAATGTAAACTATCCTTTGTTTATTAATAAAGTCAATACACATATGATAGTTAAGCGAGTTAGATATCATTATTTCTAATTATCATCCATAGCTTGTATACTTTATTTTTATTGATACTAAAATTTACAAATTTTCAGAAGGAATATAAAGAATTCGAGCATATTTTCTTTTCTTTTTAATTTGTGTGTGTGTTAGTTAGTGTTTAATCTATTCATGAATAGGTACTTTTAACCTTTACACTACTTCCAATTCATCAGCAAACTTGCAGCTCAAGCCTCGATTAACTATCATTTACATCCTTTTGTTTTAGAAGTTTTCAGATTGGAAACTTTATTGGTAATTAAAAAAAAAAAAAATGGAATCCGAAGCCTTTACCGAAACATAAAAATATATTTTTTACAAATTCCCACATGCAAAGGTAAACAAAACGATCACGAAAGATACAATAGAAAGGATGAAAAGAAAGGATCGAATATGTCGAGAGTGCAAAACCCTAAGCACAACAGAAATCCAGAGTAAGTTGTAAATTAGTCCCTCCTAGTTTGAAAAATTAATTAGTTAATCCTAATTGTTTTAAAAATTAATTATTTAGTTTTTCATGTTTTAATTATATCAATAACCTAGTTTTTTTTTTATTGGTTTTATGTTAGATTAATGTTTTTTTTTTCAAATTATCCTTCTCTTGATGCTTTATTTTTCTCCTTCATCCATTCTTTTTCTTTCTGCTCAACTAAAAATAAAATAAAGGGCAATTTGTGAATAAAAGTGACCAATCCAATTGAAAACTGATGAAAAATTAAGTTATTAATGAAATTAAAATATAGAGACAAATTAATTTGTTTTTGTAATACCAATTTATAATTTACTCCAGAAATCCGTAATGCATAGATTATCCTAATCCCTGATCAAGCTTCTATTTTATGGTCCTAAACACCTGGAAAAGGTCTGTCGATTAGTACCTAAAGCGGATTTATCTATCATCATTAACTCATAATCCAGTGGTGGCTAAAGGTTTGAAATTTTTTGGTAAGGCACAACTTTATTCTTGGTTTGGTTACCGAAAAAAAAGTACCATTTTTTTTTTTGTCACAAAATATTTAACACCAATCCCTGTGTTACGTAGCTGTCAAAGGCACCTAAAAACATCAGGAAACGTGAGAGCAACAATCATAAAGAAACCAGAATCCTATTGAAATAAAATTCTTCTCTTTTGGCTTTACATGATTCCAAGAAATTCTCACCAACCCAAATCACCATTTGGCATCTTCCTTGACCAAAAACAAAAATTACCACCATTGAAATTTTTATAAACCCACATCAGCATTTTTCTTCTCTGAGAGGTTTCTTGGGTTATTTTTTTCCTTTCTCTCTTTTTTTTTTTTGTTAGTAATTTATCAGCAATGAGTAGAATTAATCCCAATTTACTTGGGACCACAGCATATGATCCTGTCTTTATTTACATGTCGATTGGTGCTTTGAGATTGGTTTAAACTTTAAGAAACTTCCCAGAAATTATACTCTAATCAAGAGGGGAATTTTTAAAGAACAATTGGCTTGTGGCCTGACTAGGGTTTCGCTTATCAGCCGGAACTTTATGGTTATATGTTACTATACATGAATCTATTATTGTCAGGAAAGCAAGTATCATGTCATGCACGTTGCAACTTGCAAGCGAGGATTGTATACAGGACCTGGTAATCAGTTAGAGCCAACTGTTTTCTGAAAGCATTGGAGTGTGCAAAGCCTAAAAGATTGGAGAGTTGAAGAGATATCCCATAATACTGAGGGAAGTGTCAGAACAGAAAGGAATATAAATGTGGCAGTTTAATTATGCCAAATTCTTCCTGCTGATATCACTAGATGTTATGAATTTGCATGCACACTATTTATTCAAGTTTTATTATTATTATTATTATTATTATCTCTAGAGATATTTCAGGTTTAAAAAACCTAGATTAATTATTCACTATTTGATCGAGTGCATAAGAACAAACACAATAACTCAAAAGAGTTTTATACATACATAAAGATTCAAAACCGAAACTATTTACTTAAACAATTAGAACATTTTTCCGTTCAAGCCAATCTTATTAAGTTATCTATTGCTTTTTATTGTACAGAAAATTGGCATGAAGAGTGGCTGATCCCACTCTAGTAGGAAAATATTATGTCTTTGACACAGATATGTACTTAGAAAAATCCGAAAATGGGTATGAAGAATGATTGTACCCATTTCGGTGAGAAATCATTGCATCTTTTACATCTACATATATTTAGAAAAACTTCTAATATTCCCTTGTTAGGACTGCCGAAACTTAGAATGGCACACTAAATATAGCTAATCAAAACTAAATATGTAATTAAGAGGATATGTAATTAAGAGGGTAACCAAACTTGATTCCACAATCAATAGGCTGAATAGACCATATACGCTTAATTAGCTATAATTGGAACTCATTGATTGTTGATTCATTAATTTTAGAACTCATGTTTTATACATCCATCTAGCCTAAACATCTTTTTTTTCCCTTTCCTACTCTAATATGCCAAATTGACTTTTTCAAGTATCACCAAAAGGCACATGGTTTTTGACTCTACAGTTGCAAGTAAGTAATGCTCAACATTTTCATAAAACAATTCAAATAGAGGCACATAATTAATGAAATGGAGTCAGAACTAAACAATATACTATAAATTTTTTTATAACAACTAATAAATTTGTTGCTGGATCATATTTGACTGTACTGCTCAGCTGCAAACATTTCCCTAAAACAAAGGAGCAATATGTTTAGTTTAAGCACACTGAAGGCTGTAGTCAATTTGCTTCTTGGTCATCATGACAGAAAGATACTACTAATAAAAAATTGTATGACCTTTGATCCCAAAAACGCCCAACAAATAAACAAGAAGAGTGTTAGCAAGTAGAACACTTTCCATCTTCTTTCTCTTCACTATCTTATACACATCCCCATATCCTCGCATTTATTATTTCCTTCTGCTAAATCAAAATATGACATCTTAGCTACTAAAATGCATGTGCAATTTTAGTTCTACAAGCTAATGAGCATTAAAAATAATGATTATAATAATGCAGAAAGAAGAATAGATATTTGTATATCAGTAGTATTATGTAGCAACTGAGAATTTGATAGGTTTGTTGCTTCTGGGAAGTTGAAAGGTCTAATTCCTTGTAAACAGAATTAAAGAAATTGAGACCAATGAAAATGACACTTCAAATTCCATATTAATTTTTTTACACCAGTTGTTTTATGTCATTATTGGATTAGCCAAGTTGCTTATATGTATGCACACACCATACAGGCACAAATTGACCCACATAAATACCTTACAGCTTGTCATAATGCATTTGACATTCTTCGCAGGAAATACTAGTTCTTTGAACACTTCTAATCCATGTGCCAAATTGATAGAGAAAATGACACTAGCTGCATCATATTTTTTTCTAATGGTGTCTAATTGTCCAGTTTAACAAGTTACACTAAATTTAACAACTAGATTCCCACGTCTTTTCATCACCCCCACAGTAGACATTTACATGGGTCTGAAGTGCCATAATCAGGACCTTTGCTTAACTAGCTGCAGAAAGTTGGTGACTTTAAATCATTGACCATGAACCCAAGACATTAATTGCCACATGAAATGATAAACCTCTAATTTTAGCGCACACAAACAAAATAATAATAAATAAATTGCATATATTGCTCAAGAAGAAAATCATTTAACAAAAAATATCACAAAAATTGAACTGCACATAAAGTAGCAAGTACCATAAGATTAATTCACATACCGCCAAAGAAAGTTAAAGAGTGGTTTGAGCATGTGATTATAGGTGTTAATTAGTCAGAATATATAGAATTGATTCTAAAGAACTCTTTACAGGAGTGAAACAAATTTAAGGCATTTCAATCATTTGAAACAACTACATCATGAGAAACTCTATCAGTCCATATAGACTTAGCCTATCACAACAACGGATTATACCACATCAATCAGTCAAACTGGCTTTCGTATATAGATTGAATCTATATAAGAATTTTCCTAGATCCAAATTAATCATTGGACATCCTCTACGTCATGCCTTTCCAAATATGTTTTTTTTTCCCCTCTGGTTAAGCATTTATTCAGAACTGAGAAATTTGGCCCACATTCCAAATTTCTGCTAGATTTTCAAGGAAAATAGAAAAGAACATCAAACCAGACAAATCTAGTGAATCTCCAACATCTCGTTTCCAAGGAAACTCTCTGACCAAATAGCCATCCGTTGATAGGTATACAAACATGATAATTTTACATCAGGTAGGTGGATAAAGACTACACAAATCAAGAAATATTCAATACAGATGCCACTAACACAAGAATCTCTTCACTGTAAGGATTTCCCAAACTTGTTGATCTTTGTAGAAATTTCCAATGCTGAAATTAACTATAACATCTCCACATGCATATCATTTTATTCATGCCCTAATTGGATACAAAAGTCAGGATCATAATCATATTCAGATATTGTTATCAACTCAGCCAAAATTTTAAATTAACAAATGATCAAAGGACATAAGAGAATAAAATCATCCTGCCACTTATCGCAAAATCAATTCATCACATGGTAGCAGAGGAGAATTTAATGAGATATCTCACGACTGACTATTAAATTAAAGGTAGGTAAACAAGCATGTTTAGCAGTTGACCACGGGAAACCTGAATTTCAAATTTTGAACAAAAACTGATTTCCATTCAACTAATCCGCTCTCAGCCACTGCAAAAACTGGTGCTAGATGGGACTGATATAATTAGCAAATCTACCTGTCATCAAAGTAAGAAAAAAAAATTGTCATAAAGCCCCATATGAATCCTTCAAGTGATATAAAGTGCAAGCAAATATTTTAGCATGTAAAGAAAAACTGATGATAGCTTTACCTTAAATGGCTTGCAAAATGCTGCTTTACACAAATAGGAAAAACTTTATTTTCAACTTGATTAAGCTTCAGTTCTAAACTAGTTGGAATTGCTTACATGTATCTTTTCCTTCATTGAATTATGTTATGCTAAAAAGACAACAATTTATCTCTACTCTGAAGAGGTAAACAAGTGGAAAGTACATTTCAGTGGGCACCATCGGATATTCAATAAACACGAATAACTCACACCCACACAATAAAAGAATAGTCCTTGCCTACTCTTCCTTAAATCCAATGCCAAGTTCCCAAATTTTCAGCAGCACTTTTACTAAATCAATTTAAGTAACCAAAGACTAGACAAACTGCAGATCCTGATTATCAAAATCAGTGTTTAGACACTGGTTTTTGTTTCCAGGCTATGTTTAGATCTTTGCATCATGGAACCTTCCCAAGTATCTAAACAAACCTAGTGCTAACTAGAATAGAAAACTTTCAGCAAACTCTGTTTTATACTATTCTTATGAATTGGAGGGATATTAGCAGGTATTCCCACCTGTTTTAGGAATTGGAAACTGCACATTTCCCAAAATTTGTTGCCACTCCTCTGGTTAGCTTAGAAAGAAAAGAGAACTTCAGATGAACCCCAATGGCATAAGTGGTTCACAAATATTCTGAATTCCTATCAGAAAAATGGCAAAAGAACAAGCTCAAGGCAAACACGTCTACCAATTCCGACCAGTTGGGCCCCAAGAGAAGGCCTCAAAATTACTGGCCAGTGCCGAATTCAGGGCAAATACGATTCCCAGTTCCTAAATTCTTGTACCCAAATCTTCCCTTTATATTTCAAACCATGAATAGAATTCAACACCATTTCGATCATTAAAACGGATGAAAGCATAAATCATGCAGTTCATTTCATAGATGTAAAAGAGAGAGAGGGATTTAAGAAGTGACCTTCAGAGGAGGTACTGACTTCGTTAGGGAGTTTAGAGACAAGACATGCAGAAGCGATAGCGCTGTGGACAGGAAAAAGTGAGCTCAATTCTCGACGCACCAATCTCGAAGACGAAATGCGGGAATGACAACGGAGAGTTAAATTAGGAAGACGAATTGAAGAAAATGGAGAAACCGAAATTCTTGTACTTGGTGATGCTGATTTTGTTGTTTTCCTCAGTGTTGCACGCATCATTGTGGAGGTAGACCTCCCTGCACTTACCCAATTCGCCATTTCCAATCTCTCTTTCTTTCTCCCCTTCCTCTGCAACCCTAAAACCTCTATAAAACCTTCGGTCCTCTATCTCATGATGCCGTTTGATTCTGGGCCTTAACATAGTGGGCCCATTTGCTTTGACAAGGCCCAGACCAACCCAAGTCCCATGCTTTCGTTTTCGTCGGCTTATATAAATCCGGTATCTAGCTACCGCTCCTCACTTTATTAAAATATCTCTTTTCAGCCTCCCAAAATGTGCCCTTTTTTTTTTTTTTTTTTTTGTACAGTCGACAGTTTTGGTGTACTGATTATTTGTATCATCGCTGTAGGGAGTAAATTATAAATTAGTCCTTTTATTTTAAAAAATAAATTGACTAGTTTTTTTTATTTTAAAAACTAATTATTTAGTTCTTTATGTTTTGATTTAATCAATAACTTAATTTTTTAATCAATTTTTCATTAGATTAGTATTTTTTTCTAAATTACTTTTTTTTATGTTTTATTTCTCTCCTTCACCGACTCTCTTTCTCTCTCCTCAATAAAAAAAAATATTGATGTAAAAATCACTAAATTAATAAAAACTGATGAAATGACTAAATTATGGATAAAATTACAACAAAAAAAAACTAAACAATTAGTTTTGTTTAAAAAAAAATTAATTAATTCATTTCTCCAAACCAAAAATGCTAATTTATAATTTACTCTCGTCTTATGATGCATTAAAAAAAGGTTAATTCATTTCTCTAAACGAAAAGCACTAATTTATAATTTACGCTCTTCTTAGGATGCATTTAAAAAAGGTTCGTTTTTTAAAAGAACATCACCAATCATGTTTCAAATCTTACAATTTATTTTGAATTCAATTATTTAAAATAAGTGAGAGAAATAAAATAATAAAAATTAAGTTGTTTTTTTTACCATACACTAAATCATTTCCATTCAATTTCAATTCAATGATTTAATTTAATAAACATGATGTTACCATAGACCCTATTCACATGCCAAGAAAATGGGTAGAAACTACTACTTTTGACAAGCACAGCACTCAACATTGAAGATACAGTTACAGCATAATTTTTTTCACTATACATCATGCTATGGCCTGCTTGAGGATTGGTATCCTTTCAACTTAATACCAAAGCTATACATGTTCACAGTTAAAACTCTTCATCATCTATTGTTGATTTTGTAATGGGTATCGACCATCTTCCCAAATGAGCTGTGTAATTTATGCACCGGATAACACCTCTTCCGGTAGGTCCATCAGGGAAGTCTATGACACTGATGCTTCCTGCATCAAGATGAAATGATCCCATCCAGTCTTTGGTCAGATTTAGGCAGTGCCCCATCAATGCTATGTGAATTGCAGGATCGCCAACTACAACGACAATCTTTTCAGGCTCGGATTCATCAGACAGTTCATTTAACAGAGATTGCCAAGCTTTTCCAGACTGGTCCCACAGTGCTGATAGAGCTTCATCCTCAAATCTGTTTAAGAAACCAGGCTGAAATGCTAGAGCCTCAGTTGCCTCCTGCAGAGATTACAGACAAGAATTAGCAGGATAATCGCATATTAACACATTGAATTCAACTCCTTGCTTGGCTTTGGATTAAAACATGGCAAAGGGGTGAGATCATACAGGCATTCTTTTGAGACTCAACATCTTTTATTTGGCATGCTAGGTTTAGTTTCTTACGACAAATATCTTACTCAGAATACTAAAAAAATTCAAACATTTTCTTCAATCTTGCCTTGTTCGATGGTTGAAGGATGTCTCTGACATCAAGTTCCCTGATCTGTTTCATCTCTACATACCGTGGCACACAGTCAGCAGCCAAGCAATCTGCAGCTTCTTGCACCTGCAATCAAGTTAGCTGGTCATGGTAGGGAAAAGGACTGCAATAGAGTTAAGGTACTCTTGGACAGGTCAAATCTCAGAACCACTCCATTTTTGCACTAAGTACATTCAATACACTGACTTAATTGCAGAGGAATAGCTTACTCTGGAGATAGTTGCTGCTGTCTCAACACATGCATTCTTAGGACTGCTGACTATAGTGCTCACATTCTGATCAAGAAGCAGTTCTGCAGTTTTCTGGGACTGTCAAATGTGCAAAAAAAATTCAGGACATGGCTTTGCGACAGCTTTTATGTACTGTTATATGGATGAGGTACCTGTATGATTCCAAGCATGTTCATTGGCTGATCCCCAGAATTAGAAAAACTACCCTGTAGAACACTGAAAGGGATCAATCATAGACCTTCTCAAGAGACAAACCAAAATTGCTGCGAAGTAAGACCAGCAGAGGTCACATTAACCCTCAAATGATTATTATGTTGACTGCAGGCACCAGTTGTTTTCTCGTATTCAATGAAATGACATCTTCAAAGTTCAATTGCGGATTTCATGAAAAAGAGCACCAACTAGCTACCTCAACAAGCATCAGCAGTTACTCTTAGCCTGTTTAGATATTATGAATGCTTGCTCTGATGCTATGTGCTTGAAACTACAGTTTTTTTCTTTTTTACAAGCACAAATTCATTTCCACAGGAAGCATGCAGTTATTTTGCTATTACATCAATTTTTCCCTTAAAACACAATATTCCATGTGCAGATGTGCTCAAATTTTCTCATGAATCCTCCTAGTCATGAATCAAGAAATCTATGGTGTATCCCATCCTAACTATCCAAGTTACAAAATCCAAAATCTAACATAGATAAGGCTACAGATACTGACCTTCACCACGTCCAAGAGGACTCACTACTTTCCCTATACTATGCAACTGTGAGCATATCTAATTGACAACTTGCTTGAGGAAGAAGATGCATATAACCAAAACACAAACAAGAAATTTCCCTGTGATGACTACAAACCTCTGTATCACCCTGTGTAGTTCCCTGAGAAACAAGTATGATCCGCTTACTGGTTTTCCTGCCAGCCGAACTTGAAGCAGCAACAGGTGAGTTGGGTGTCTGCATCCATATTCAATTGATTTTAACAGACAGCATAACGTGTTACCGACACCATACATATAGAAACTTGCTGTACCATAAAAAAAAATTGTGCGAAAGATATCACTTATAATTTTACAGAAGAACTCTGACACGTTTAGCTTATAAAATCAAACAATATTACAGACGATACTCATAAAAAAATAAATTACAAATGAGCATTTTGCAGAAGCATTAATCAAAAGAATGCATTTTACAGAATCCTCATTAAAGAGTAAATATTAGAAGATTACCTAATAGAGTTTATCATAAAAAATCTCAATTTGCTTAAAATATCATATGCATACTGACAAACAAATGTAGAAACAAGCCTATTTATTTTTCGCTGAAGGTTAGTCACACGTAGTAGTATTATACAATTCTTTATCAGGAAACTTGTTGTGTACCTGATTCAAACGATTAAGACAGATAAAAGGAGACCCATCTCCACCGTCAATTCGTGGGGTGAAATCCAGCACACTTACACCGCAATTGCTCTGAAGCAAAATCCTAAAATACTCCGTCCCCAATCCTGATTTTCAATAAGCCAAAATTAAAATTCAAAGTGATAAAATCCTCATAATTCAGCATCAAAAATCACAACAGCGGCCAAAAAAAAAAAAAAAAAACGAACCAATAGCTGTAGCAACAAGAGCCTGATTAACAGCATTGTGCGCAACCACAAGAACAGACCTACTTTCATGTGCTAGAATTTTATTCCAACAGTTTCTAGCACGCCCCCACAACTCCCTCACTGGAAAATGACCATCAATATTAAAATTTGGCGCATCAACTTGCCATTGCCTATATGCTGCACCGAATTTCGCCTTTCCCTCATGCTTCAAAAGCCCCTTTAAAATCCCACCAATAATAAAAACATTCAATTTATAACATTATTTAAGCCTTAAATATTTTAATAAATAAAATAAAATTGCAAAAACAGAACGAAACTCACTTGAAATGAATAAAGATCAATTTCTCTCAAATCGGAATCCGTAATCATGTCCTCCTTTCGCGGTCCCCATATGATCTCAGCCGTTCTTTTCGACCGAATCAAAGGGCTAAAAACGAACCACAATTAAACACTAAACTCATCACAACAATCAACTACTTCAGAAACAAAACGACAGTCAAAGTTCCATAAAACGGCAGCAAAGAGGGAGAAAGAGAAACCTAGAGAAGCAGACATCGAAGGAATCATCGATAAGCATTTGGCGAGAGGTCTCGGCTTGAGCCTCGCCTTTTTTAGTCAAAACGGAGAAATCAGAGCTGCCTTGGATACGTCCTTCTTCATTCCACGTGCTTTGGCCGTGACGCACAAGAACTACTCTCTTTGCAGCTTTAATTGAAGGAAACGGTGCCGTGGAATAAACCTCGGAGCTCAACAAGTCCTTCTCTTTTGCTGTTTTTTCCTCCACAGCCTCTTGGATACTTGAGGTTGAAGATGACCGGATTGTGAAGAGGAGACCGTGGCTCCTGTGGTGGAGGAGGGGGCGGTTATGGTGGTAGCGGAGGGGAAGAGAAGGGGGAGGTGCAATTGAAAGCATTTGGAAGTGTTTCGTATTTGGGTTACTTTGTGATTATTGTTGGCGCTAATTTTTGTTCGTTTTGTTTGTTGAGTGGTCAGTGATTACCGTTGTTTCTGTATCCAAACTGAACGAATGACACGTGTCGTAGAAAAGCCAAGATTTTTTTTCCTTCTTCTCCGTTAGAAAACATTTAATTTTGAGACAAAATAAAATTAAAACAATTTACACGCGGATAAATTCTTGGCACGGTGCCTGCTCAATTTTGCATTTGATTGTAATCTCAATAGCAATTTCAAGCTTTATTGATAACTGAAAAAAACGTTGGTCCAAAAGAGTCCCTTTAAAAGATGAGTAAATTATTAATCAGTCCCTCTAGTTTCAAAAAACCGAATTAATCAATCTTTTTTTTTGTTTTAAAAACTAATTAGTTCATTGTTATATTTTAAAATTTTCTTATACTTTAATCCTTTTAATTTCTTTCAATTTATTTTGATTTTTATTTTAAAAAATAATAAATAAATAAAAATATAAAAGAGTTGCAGAAGATAACACTTGTAAAAGAAAATAATATTAAACTAAACATCAACACTAACTTAATTTTTTTCCTTTTTCTTTAATTTATTTTGATTTTTTATTTTAAAAAATAAGTAAAAAAATATAAAGAGAATGCTCAAAGAATTACATTTTATAAAACAAAATAAATATTAAATTAAGCATAGTCAACCATGATTAAAATATTAAATAATTAGTTTTTGAAATAAAAATGAAGAATTAATTTGTCTTCCAAAAAATAAAAGAACTAATTTATAATTTACTCGAAGACCGGGAATACCAAAATAAATAGTGAAAAAAAAAAAAAATCTCGCTCTATAGTCTAGAGAGACGAATTGCATTTGCCAGGCCTCAAAAAGAAATTAAGAAATCCACAGCAGCAGGGGGCCAAGAAGATAGCAAGCTATGCAAAGACATACTCCTAGAGTACAATTTTCATTAATAATCAACTGTCATAGCAAAGAAATGAAAACAGAGAATAATTTCTATCCCTCCATCAGGACTGACCTTAACAGCACACGAATGCATCAGCAGAAATGCTGAAGCACTACCACCACAGTCCTTCTCGAAAAATAAAAGGCGAAAAACGAAAAAGAAAAACAGAAAACAAAGCAAAAATACAACCAAAGAACTGACTAACAAAATCACTCTTCCATTGCCTGATTTTGCTCGCTGTTTTGTTGAGAAACCTGGACTTTGACCTTGGGTAAGGTGAGAGATTCTTGTCGAAGTGCTTGAGGAGCCTGGACCAAGTGAATCGACTGATCCACTTCTTTACTTGCCTCCCTCCGCTCCTTGCCTTTCCTGACCCTCAACCTGCCAAAATTTTCAGTTAAAATTGGTAGATTCTAAAAACAAAAAATACAAAATACAAAAAATATGGAACACCTAATAATGCTGTCTCAAAAAGGTGAAGATAAGATGGATGTAGAACCTCTTCTCTATGTGGTTTGCTGCCCGCTCCGATCTGACCTTGTCAATCTTCTTAATAGCCTTCAGAGTATTCTCAGTAACATTCCTGTCATATCTCTCAGGCCTATTTCGCTTTCTCTCAAACTCAAAGGTCGAATCCTTTTCAAAAAAAAGAAGGGAATGAGCAACAAGACAAGCACAGTAACAAATCTGAAGGGTTTAATATTTGAATCTAGAGACAACAGCAGCTAGAGACACAAGTTAAAGTGAAAGAAGTCAAGAAGTCTCCTAACCTGTGTCATGTCCTTCCCATGCAACCTTCTATAGGCCTTGGTCCATTTTACCTTGCGTGGGTTTCTCTTCATTTTGAAGTTCTTATGGCACTTGGATCTGCAAAATCGAAAAATCTGCAAAAAAGGTTGAAAGATGAAAACTTGATGCCCAACCTTTTTAACTGATAAAATTATAGGTTAAATAAGTAATACAAATCAGAAGCTCCCAACGGGGATGAACTGGAAAGAAGAATTTCACTTGACAAACAATTCAATGCATTACTGACTAACATCATTGACAACAGAACAGGGGGAAAAAAGAAAGGAACCTCCAAAGTGACTAGTCAAGCTTTATACTAGAGTAACGAAATCTAACACCAATGCTGCAAAGTTCAATCCAATATCAATCATCGATGCAGGATCAGAAATTTTATTTTCAATCCCCAACCTCTAAATTCCTAAAGCTAGTGAACTAAGGCCTAAGTCGATACAAAGACACTCGACCTGAGATTACCAACTATTAAAAGGTCAACAAAATCTAGCCAAACTACATGCCATTCTGACATGTGAACAATAACATACAATGGTACCGAACCTTCCAAACCACCAATGCAACTACGAAAACGAAACTCACTTATACTATGATGAGGTTTGCCCAAACGACAGTCAAGTGAAACGCTGTAACTTCACCGACTTAGAAGTAACAATTTCATTACCCTACTATGCATAGCCAACGACAATTTACAACTACAAACCCTCACTCAGCTTCAGTTCACCCTCTAATTCCGACAAAAATAACATCCATACTAGGTTAATAAAGTTTTCAAGGCATACAAAAAATTCAGAAGCTGCAGAATAAAGAACGTAAGCCAATATTTTACCTTAGCATCGTTGCGGACAAACTGGATACCATGTCCGGGGTATATATTCGAGGAACAGAACCAACACTTCTCCACCCTCATTTTGTCCCTTCTTCAAAAAAAAAAAAAAAAAACCTCAATTTCTGTAGCAACAAAAAACCAACATATAAAAAATAAATTATTTTTCAATAATGCGTTAACCACAAGAAATTATCACAGAACATGAAATTCTTTGCACTTTGTTTACAGCAAGAAAATTGAGTGAAAATAATCAAAATCGATATCTGCAAAACTTAAGGTATTCGAGCAGAACTTAGTGACTTACGGATTTGAAGACTTCGATTTGTTTTTGTTTCGCCTGCCGGGTTAGTGGGTGAGATGCTTTGATTCGTTCTTCTGGTCGAGGAAAAGGAGGATAGAGGCGGAGAAGGCAGGAAAACCCTGCAAATAAGGGTTTACGACGAAGTTTTTTCTTATTTGTACCCGTCCCGATTAGTTTACAAATTTACGAATTGACCCCATTCGAGATTTTTATTTGTTAACCCCAATTCTAATATTTTTTTTTCATTTTGGTCCTTAATGTTTCAGCCTTATTGTTTTATTTACCAAATTTTATCTAGCATTTAATTTGATTTTTGCATGTCAAAACTCACTCAAATTGATATTTTTACCTACTTAATTACTCACCACCACATTTTACTTGCCACTGAAACCTTATTCTCTTTTTTATCCAAAAAGAAAAGAAAAAGAAAAACTTATTCTCTTTCATTTTTTAGCTTTTGCAAATTGATTCTATTGGATTTAGGCCTTCTGGGCCTCTTTCTAACGACGAATGCCACATGATTGGGCCCATAGTTGAAAGGCCCAGCTACTTTTTTTTTCCTCGTTTATCCAACCTATTGAATCTTTCTTTAAGCTTACATTGTGCCGATTGATGTAGTAATAAAAAAAATCACCCCAACCAAGTTTCATCGAATTAAGTGTTTCCAAATTCTCATAAAAAAAAATTCAAAAATTGCAAACATCCTTTTAAAATTTAAATTTATTTGCATCGTAGCTTCCTAACCTCAAATACTTTTTTCTCTTTACAGGCATATATAGAATAAAATTCAATTTCAAAAAATTATCCTCGTTCAAGAGAAAAAAAAAGTTTCATTGCAAAATATAATCCAGTACTTCCTTTCATTCATTATTCAGAATAAATTATAAATTAATCCTTTTACTTTTTAAAAAGAAATTGATTAGTTTTTGCTAATTTTAGTATGTTTTTAAATTCATTTGTAACTTTTATTTTTGTAATTTTCTCAATTTATTTTTTTTAATAAATCAAAAGGTAAGTAAAAAATGAAAATGAAATTATTTTTTGGAAAAAATATTATTAAATTATCATGTTCAGCACTATCAAAATTATTTACTTCTATAATTCAAGATAGATTCCAAAAAGTCAAAGGAAAAAAAAAAAAACAAAAGAAAGAATGATTGATGAATAAAAAATGAGCATGTGCAATAGTAATTTGTGACACCCATGCAAGCCTTTAAAAAAAAAAAAAAAAGATAAACAATTGGGCAAAGGGCACATCAAATCCAACAAGGCAACAACTAATAATTAGCTTTGCACATCTAGATATGGTAGGGCCATTTCATCTCTAGACCAGTTGACGCACATCATTGTCAAACTCGAACGGCTAGTTGGTACTTTGGCAACACCTACTACTGTACAACTGGCTCCTGGTCTGGCTATGCCCATGGCTCCTAGTTGAAGACAAAAGAGCCGTTGCTTTCCTCCTTCTTGGGGTATACCTTCTTCTTCCACTACCAAATTCGAGCTTGCAGCTGCCCTTCTGCCTGTAACTCTATCTTCATCAATTGCTTGTGGGATGAGGCTATCGTCAATGATTATTATTATTATTACCGGTGTACATGTGGTTGCTCTTTGAATTGGGGGTCCATCTATCCATCCTGGCAGGCTGGCAGCTTCGTTTTTTAATATGCCTCCCTAGAAAATCAATGTTACTACTAGGCTTCGCGTGGTTGAGTAAATTACAAATTAGTACCTCTCTCCATAAATGAATTCATTAATCTTAATTTTCTAAAAAATTAGTTATATAATTATTTATGTTTTATTTTCATCAATAATTTAATTTTTAATTAGTTTTTTCATTAAATCGGTTTTTTTTTAAATTACACTTTGTTTGGTGTTTTTTTTTTACTCGCTTCATTATCGACAAAAGAATTTAAAGAAAAACAATTTGATAACAAATTAATAAAAAAACTAAATTATAAATGAAATTAAAACGTCAAAGATTAAATGATTAATTAATTTATTTTTTCTAAACACGAGAGACTAATTTATAATTGCTTAATGTATAAAAACATCACGAACTTTATATTTTTTAATTATATTAATTTGTTTTTTTAATTTTGAAAAAAAATCATAAACTAAATTTCTAATAACATATTAATACATTTGAATTTTTTCGATTTAAGTTCTTATCAAAACTGACATAGCGTGTGATGAGCATTTATAATTTAGTGATAGAAGAAATAAAAGCTATGCTGGAGTGATACATAAAGCTCTTTTGCTTTTCTTTTTCTTTTTTCTTTTTTATTTGGGTTTATGTCCAATGTATTATCTAACTAATTTTATCATGCATGTATTTAGTTAAAAATTTCCATCGATCAAATTAAAATAAAATATTTACATTCGAACGGAGGAATTCGTGAAAATTTTACCTTTTACATCATTGTTTTTTTTTTTCTAAAAAATGTATTCCAAGTCTTAATCTATATCCAATGGGTTATGATCACTAAACCAAATCGCGTATTTATGCTCATTTGCTATGTTTTTATTTCTTTAGATAAATTAAGCATTTCAGAAGGAGACAAATAAAAAGATTTCATCTTCATTTAGACGGTAAAACCTCGTGAGTAATTATAATTATTTATTCCGGAATATTTTGCACTGCAAAATCTCAAGATTGTTTCTTTTAATTTCCAATAAGATAGAACCTCAGGACTCGAGGAAAAATCGGTAAAACGATAAAGATACTAAATATGTATGTGGACGTTTGACTTGTTATTTGTGGCGAAATAATTAATATAAGATTTGCCTTTTATATCTTTTTTTTTTGTCATTTTTTCCGATAGGAAAGAGAATATCGGGAATAGAGGAAAATAAATAGTAACTATTACAAATTAAAATCGAAAATAAACAATTCTGAAACTTTGACCTTCTAAAGATACTAAGGTCTTGTTTGATAATTAAGAATAAAGTAATAGAAATGGGAATGCGAGAATCGGAATGAAAATTAAGGAATCGAAATGGTATTTATATTCCAATATTGTGTTTGAAATACTAATAAGGAATCGAAATGCAATTTAAATTTTTTAATATCCGATTTTGTATACAAATATAAATAATGATTAAAAAATAATTTTATTAAACTATGGTAGTTACAAAAATAATAAAGGTGATGGTAGTAATTGTGGTGGTGGTGGTGGCGACGACGGTAATGATTGCAATAGTGATGGTGGTTGTGATGGTGGTGGTGGTCGTAGTTGTGATGGTGGTGGTTGTGGTTGTTACAATGGTGGTGGTGGTGGTGAAAAAAGTAGTTAATAAATAAAATATATTATTATTTTGAAAAAAAAAATCATTCTCATTCTTTATTTTTTATTCCCACATCTTATGTGGGAATGAAGTTGTGTGTAAATTTTCATTCCCATTTTCACTTCATTCCCTTTAACCAAACAACTATAATGTGAAAATAAAACTTTCATTTCCACTATCACCATTCTATTCCCGATTACCAAACGACTCGTGTGTATATATATATGTTATCAATTGTATGATATTATTTCTTAAGATTCGACTTAGTAAGCTAACTTTTTTTCCTCATTATCATTTTTAATAAAAAATATTTTGTTTCTGTGAATATATGAGTTTGGATGTGTCCATATGAAACCAAGATAACCCTAAATACAAAAATCCGTAGGAAAGAAAATGATGTTACCCTTGCCTTTGTTTTGGTTCAAAAGATGAAATTAAATATGTTTTCGTTTTTAATGAAAAATATTTCCTTTACGCGAAAGAAGAAAATCCTAAACCCAAAATACATTAAAAAAAAAAATTATGCTACCTTTTTCTTTTCTTTTGGTTCAAAAACTGAAATCAAATCTTTTTTCGGGCCGTCCATGATAATTTAATTCGAAATGATTTTAAAATTGTTACTATACTTTTCATAAACAAGGCCACAACCTTAACGATTCTTTGAGAAAAAAGAACCTTTTCTCTTTTGGAAGCAGCAATCTACGGAAAAGAGCTTTGATACTCAATAATTAATTGTCTTTCTTCGAGGAACATTCAATGTCACTCTCACGACTAACATTTATTACCAAAATCATAGCCCTTTAGGCAAGCTTTGTGAAACTTATTGGCTTTTCGATTTCAATCCATATCAATTTAATTTCTGTGATACGCTTTACTTTTGTCACCAGAAAACTACGCTTGACTTCACTGCCCACAAGACCCACCACATGATATTTCACATCCTCCATCATAGGGATTCTCTCCCTCTCTTTTTTCACTTCCCAATCCGTTGAAAATTATCTTTCTTTTGGTATCTTGTAGCATAAGAAAGTTTCACCCAAAGAAAGTAAGTTAATGACAGTCCTGACCCTCAAAAAAAATAAAAAATAACAATAATAATTTTATTTTGTACCATCATCATTTATTTGTGTGTGGTTAGCAAAATTTAGTGTTACAACTAGAATAGACCATGAATGGTAGTGGGATGGGAGAAATTCAATTATTTGTCAAAGTTGATGGAAAGTAAAACATGACTTCACTCAATTCAAATCTAACATAATTCAACATCTCCTTCAGCAAATGCAGCATGCTCAAGCTTAACTATTAACTCCGGAGCTCCACATCATGATTTGTAAGTTAAAATTTGAAAATTAAAACTTGAAAGGATCAGTTTCTTCCCGTTGGCTGTTAGACCATATTCTTATATCATATAAAAAAAGACTTATTATACCAAAAAAACAAAAAAGCATAAAATCGATCCTTTTTGATCATATTAACACTTTGTTTCAATGTTAAACAAAAAATACATAAATTAAGCTTTTATTAATTATATTAGCACGTGTTATGTTTTTTTTATCGAAATTCCGTTAATATATGACAAGATTCTTTTGATGGAAACAAATCATGTGGGCTAATATAGTTAAATTTGTCTATTTTCTATCAAATATTGAAAAAAATATGTTATTATGATTAAAAAAATATAAAATTTATATATTTTTTGTACAATAAACCATAAAAAACAGTAAATACCATATTTACAATACTAACACCATACATTTAATAAATGTAAGTATTAATATTTCATGGGATGGATGAAACCGCAAAACCAATCAAATATTCATAAATATTGTATTTGATTAATGAAAAATAATAAATACCGATCAAAATTTCGTTGATATTTGACGTGATTTGTCATGATAGATGTTAACAAAATTTTAGTTGAAAAAAATCACATATATTAATATAATTAACACAAATTTAGTTTGTGTATTTTTTTATCAAATATTAAAAAAAAACATGTTATTATGATTAAAAAATATAAAATTTATAATTGTTAAGCCATAAAAAATAATAAATACCGCATTTACAATACTACACACTATAGATTTATTAAATGTAAGTATTAATATTTTATAGGATAGATCAAACGGCAAAACCAATCAAATATTCATAAAAATTGTCTTTGATTACATCACTACTAAATCAACAAGTCTTCTTTAATCAATAAAGAAAGAAAAGTAGTTGCAAAATGGCTCGATTAGAACTCGAAACCGTCTCCATAACCTGAATCACACGGAATGATTTAAATTAAAACAAAATCATCAATCAATCACTCTCCGTTCTCATCTATTACAACGGCTAATTAAAAGGCCTCCTCAAGTCCTAACATTTTTATTACATCACTCCCTATAATTTCGCATAAGAGACCAAAACATGAAATAAAAAAAACCTTAAAAAAGCCAAACAACAAGTAGCTAACGCGGTTTTATCTCCTTCACTAGTACTTGCTTTTTTAGCTGTCTTCCTTTCTAGAAATCATTCTCTCTCTAGGAAAACCACAGCAAGAAGCTTCAGTTTCTCTGTCTAAGAAAAGATACAATCTTTTATCTCTAAAACCCTACCAAGCACTCAAAACCCTAACAACCCATTTCAGATCTACACTACATTTTATCTTTCTGTTATGTAATTTAGAGGGAGAGCAAGAAATTGAAGTGTAAGAATAGAAAATGTCTAACTCCGACCCGAAAGCCCGGCCCAAGCCAGGGCAGTGGCCACCAGCACCGGAATCTGCTGCAATGCCGCCGTCTTCATGGGCTAAACGAACTGGGTTCCGGCCCAAATTTTCTGGCGAGACCAATGCGAGTGATTCTGGACAGATTTCACTCCCTCCGAGGCCAAAAGAGCAACGGGATGCCCAGCCGGATCTTGAAGCGGGTCGGGTGAGGGCAACACCACCTCTACCACCACCAGCGCCGCCACCGGCCGCAGTGAACGGGACTGACATGGTGGTGGCTGTCCCAGCAGAGAATAAGGATCAGACGGTGGTGAAGAGGAGGAGGGACTCTGATGGTGGCAGTGGGGGAGCAAGGAAGGATGGTTCGGGTCATGGGACAAATGGGGCGGGTACGAATGGGGCACCGGAGGGACCGAGAAGAGCAGTGGCGAGGAATGAGGAAGTGATTGATGTGGAGGATGATGGTTTCGCTGCAGGGAGACATACACATATGAAGTATGAGCTAAGAGACACTCCTGGTCTCGGTGAGTTTTGTTTTTTTTTTTTTTTGACTGATTGGTTCCTCACTGACTTTCGTTGCCGCTTAATTGGTAATAATGACGTTTGGGAGAAGTGAAAGTAGTGTGCTTTTGTTGTTGTTTAATTGATACTTTGAACTCGGTTTTTTTTTTTTTTTTTTTGGGTTTCGTAGTTTGTAAGATTCCTTTATTTGGATGTTTGGCTAGTTTGGATTAGGTTTTCATAGTTTATTAGGTTTTGTTAGAGTAAAATTGAATTGATTTTTAGCAGTTTTTTTCAAATTAGGTTGTTCTGATTTTGAGTGTTGGTTTGGCTCGTTCTTTACGAATTTTGCGAGTAAACAAAATATTTTATTGTTTTGGGTGTTGCTTTAAACGAATATTTGATGTATGGGATTTGTTTTGGGTGGGGCAATAAAAATGTTAGTTTTTTTTTTTTTTTATTGTGGTTTTAGTGGTCATTTTAAATTAGTCGTGTTCTTTTTTATTTTCGTATAATGCTTCAGGTTTTATTTGTTTATTGGATATGATGGGAAGACTCTTTTGACATGGGATTTGTTGGCAACGTAGAAGGGCTTTGTTTTATGGTTTGATATTTGAAGTTTCTGCTGTTTATTGGTTCTAAGTTGGATTGTAATGGTTAACTCGTGTTTTTTTTAATCGGTTTTTGTGGTTAATTTAATTGGCTTATGGTTTGCGTATTGTTTCAGTTCCCATTGGTCTATATGGGTTCCAGCATTACCTTTCAATGTTAGGTTCATTGATTCTCATTCCACTTGTCATAGTTCCTGCAATGGGTGGCACTTATGTGAGTAGTGGTGAATATTTTCTTTAAACTTGTTATGATATTCATTGTCTGGTCGAAAATAAATTGCAGTGAGCTTGATCTGATTGGGTTTAGTTGGTGTAGGAGGATACTTCAATGGTGGTGTCAACAGTGCTATTTGTTTCAGGAGTCACCACGCTTTTGCATACCTCATTTGGGTCAAGGTTGCCTTTGATACAAGGCCCGTCATTTGTTTACCTTGCTCCTGCACTGGCAATAATCAATTCCCCAGAGTTTCAAGGACTAAATGGAAATGTATGTTCCTTTTGTTCATTTTTTGTTGACTTAAAATATACACTCTAGTGGTTGCCTTCTCAAATTTAAAGAATCTGTAAAGTTAGTTGTGATCTAAACCAATGATCGAAATTTCTGATTATCAAGTCAAGAAAACTAAAGGATGGTAGAGATAGACAAGGTAAGGTATGCAAAGGAAGACTGTTGTTGATCTTCCTATGTTGATCTGAGATTGAAGTTCCATATGTTTGTAATCCAAGAAATAATAGATTATTTTTTAAGGTTATGAATAATAATTTTACAAGCAAGTTCAGGATAATATTACCATAATTTTGGGTACGGAGAAATTCATGTTCCTTACAAGATTTGTAAAAAATATTCCTTCGCAGAATTTCAAGCATATTATGAAGGAGCTACAAGGAGCTATCATTATATCTTCAGCTTTTCAAACAATACTTGGATATAGTGGACTGATGTCAGTTTTTTTAAGGTACAATTTCATCATCTTTACCATGCACTTTTTAACTTAGTCACTTCACCTTCACATCTTTGTAATTAGAGAGCTACCCTAAATACGCCTTAAGGTTGAGAGGATTGGATTACATTGTTTCAATAGTTGTATCATAATAATTGCTTAAATATGAAGTGGAGTCAATTTTGTTGTTGGCTATTGATCTAGGACAGATTAACTAATGTGCAGCATTGACAATCATTTAGAGTTTCATTAGGTATACTCTTCTTTTACATAATTACCTAAGATTGGCATGATTATTTGGGGAATAAAATACAAATTCATTATTTAACTACTATTCAAATTTCGATTTTATTCTTAAGGAACAAATTCTTGCAATAGTATGCTTAATGTTTTAACAGTTTCAATATTGCCCTTCCATTAACTTTTCTTAATGTCTGTTATGGAAACCAAAATATGGGTGTTCAAGTCATATGAATCCTCTTCTTTACAAGGAGCTAATAATATATACATTAATTTGCAACGACTGCAATAGAGTTCACCCTAGCTTTTAATTCGGAAACTCCCAAGTAAGTCTCTAGCCAACTGCCACTTTTGTCGGTATCACTTCATCTGTGATGCCCCAATCCTACATCAGATAGGAATGAGGTAGATCTTGCGCATATAAGCACTCGAGTAGCGCACTGTTAATAACTATGAGCTTAAGGATATTGCCCAATCCATCATGTTATGTCAATCAGTGACTACTTGGGGTACCCTAGCTTTTAACTTGGAAACTCCCAAGTAAGTCTCTAATCAACTGCCAATTTTGTCGGTATCACTTCCTCTGTGATGCCCCAATCCTACATTGGATAGGAATGAGGTAGATCTTGGGCATATAAGCACTCGAGTAGCGCACCGTTAATAACTAGGAGCTTAAGGATAATGCCCAATCCATCATGTTGTGATGGCCAGTGGCTACTTGGGGGTGTTGCCACCTTATTAGCTGCCAAAAACTAAATTATTTATTTGTTTTTTATTTTGTGTTATGGGTATGAAAACATGATATGCGGTGATATGTATTCCCAGAATGAGATACTTCAGTATGCATGTTAGACTGTTTACAAAGTCAGTCTTTTGCAGCAGATGCGCATTAATTCAACCTCTGTTCATCTCTGTTTCTTTTTCAGGTTGATCAATCCAGTGGTTGTTGCCCCAACTATTGCTGCTGTTGGGCTTTCTTTCTATAGTTATGGTTTTCCACGAGTTGGTACCTGTCTAGAGATTGGTGCAGTGCAGATATTGCTGGTTATTATGTTTTCTCTTGTAAGTTTTGTGAAGCTAAATTTTGCCTTAAATTATAGGATTAAGTTTCTTTTAATTAACCTGCATAAGATATCTGTTTTCAGTTGTGTGCCAAAACAGCTAAAATAGATCTTTCCTTACTTTCTGCAGTACCTACGTAAGATATCTGTTTTTGGCCATCGCATCTTTCTAGTTTACGCTGTAAGTTTTCTGCCATGTTAGCTTTTCATCAATATTTTTAGTTGTTGCTGCCTAGCCCTTTCCCACTTTTCCTATCATTCTATTATTGTTGATTTTCCATCCTATACCCGAATGACTAAATTTCTGGCGTAGGACCCTGTGCAGCTTATCAGCCGTTACAATGATGTCCTCTTCCAAAACCAGCAATAGACTTCTCGTTCTACAAACCTCTCACTTCATGCCCCAACCCAACAGCACCATCAAGTATCACTTGAATGCCCCACTAGATAGTCCAAATAGGAGAAACAAAATGGGCTTGGCTAAGTTCATGTCTAGCTCTAAACAAAACGGGCCTTGGCTAAGTTTATTCCTAGCTCTAATATCGTTGACACAGTATTTCAGTTCTCAAACCACACTGGTCATCTACTCTCAGTTTGAGTATTGGTGGTGGGGTTGAGGTGTACATGAGAGAGAGTATTAAGTTGAATGTTGCACCCTGCTGTAGCAACATAAACTATTAGACCTTTACATTGTTAAAAACGGTACTATGTGCAGTTTGTGAGATGATGAGGTTATTCCTATTTCACTGCCAGGTTCCATTGGGTCTAGCTATCACATGGTCGGCTGCTTTCCTTCTTACTGAAGCAGGAGTCTATAGTTACAAAGGTTGTGATGTAAATGTTCCAGCATCAAACATTGTATCTGACCACTGCAGAAAGCATGTTTCCAGGATGAAGCACTGCCGAGTTGACACTACCCATGCACTGAAATCTTCCCCATGGTTTAGGTTTCCTTATCCATTACAATGGGGCACTCCTGTCTTTGAGTGGAAAATGGCTCTCGTTATGTGTGCAGTGTCCATCATCTCATCTGTAGATTCGGTTAGTTTCCTTTCAACATCATGATTGACACCTCTCTAATTTCCTATATGCCATTCTTTTTTATTTTTATTTTTTACTTTAATTTGCAGTCATTCACATATTGATCATCAGTATAAAAGATCCTAGAGTTTCCACATGCATAAAAACCCCCAACTTTTTCAGTTTAAATAATTAGAATATAATTGTAGAATAGGGCTCTGATTTACCAGGAAAAAGAAAAGGAAAAGAGAGTAAAATTCTGAACAGTCTGGCTGAATTGGTGAGATGTCCGAAGCTTGCTTGAGAAACTAATACTAAGTGTGTTTTTGCTTTCACTTGGATATTTTTCTAAGTGTCACTCCAAGTAAAGAGCCTGAAGTTGTCTAAATTACGGTCATAAGATATCTCATTTTAACAAGGTCATTGTGGAAATCTCTGGAAGTATTTAGTACTGTTTATAAATAGAGCTTTGTGAAATTGCTAAACTTCATATAAAGAGATATCGATGACAAAGGCCCTATCAACTTTTGCTAATAGGGTGTTCTCTTTAAGATTGATATATGTTGACTGGTACTTATTAATTAACACTTAGCCAAAAGAGTGTTCAGCCATATTTGAATCATGCATTTTTAGTTCTCCTAAAGCTTAAAGCCTGAAATAGATGTTAGCTAATATTCATTAAAGCAGCAGTTGGCTTTTATAAAGAAAAGTTACATTCATTACCGTTGCAAATTTCTACTTCCATGAAGTATTGGGGTGTGTAAATGTTTCTGGATTGATTCATTCATAAATAATTTTTTTCTTGAAGTTCTCTGGGAGAGTGCTTATGTCCATAAAATCGATAAATTTTGTATGTGTGCTTATAGAAGTATATAGACATGGACATGGGGTCTCATGATTACAAAGTAAAAACATGTTTCCCTTTGGATATGTAGCACTCTAAACTGAGAGATTAATGCCCACATACATGAACAAAATTTGCATATAATGTTGTATAAAGCTATTGATATGATCTATTAAGAATTAGATGACTATATTCCTGATTTTGATCTGGGTTTGTGACAGGTTGGCTCATATCATGCATCATCATTGTTGTCGGCATCTAGGCCTCCAACCCCAGGGGTTGTTAGTCGGGGGATTGGTCTTGAAGGCCTTTGTAGTGTCTTGGCTGGTCTATGGGGTACTGGAACTGGTTCTACTACTCTAACCGAAAATGTGCACACTATTGCTGTGACTAAAATGGGCAGCCGCAGAGCAGTTGAATTCGGTGCATGTGCTCTGATCCTCTTATCTCTTGTAGGTAAGTCTTAAGGCTTATTTTTCACAGCTTCATTAATCAAAGCATGATAACCTTAAGACTGTTTTTCCGTCACCATTGTAATGGATTGGTTGATTAAGTATGATGGTGGGCTTGTTCATTTGTTGTGTCTAAGAGATGTTTTATGGAACCGTCAACTCAAAATGTTTATTTGGGTGGTTTCTTCATGGCTATTATGTCTCTGTTGTTCTGCAGTTCTCAATTCTTTTGTTCTAACATGCTGCAATCTACTAATATGATCTGTTAAAATGAAACCAAAATGTCATACTGCATCTTGTGCAATTGTAATAACTGTGTGCGAGATAATTGTTGCAATCTTGAGGAAATTATTAAAAAAAATAAAGGAAGAAGACAAATTGTTTGCACCACATTTTTATCTTTAATCATAAAAATTGCCATGACAAGTATGTGGCACATTAAGATTTAAATAAAAGTACTTTGTTTTATTTATTTATTTATTGACTAGTAGAAGCATTTGAATTTAGAAGCTTACAACACTTAATCCAGTTCAGAGGCTCACTGTTTCTTTTCTAATGTTCTTACCTTTGCTCTGTACTCATACTTATATATCATTCTTTACTATTTAAACAGGTAAAGTTGGAGGATTTATTGCCTCAATTCCTGAAGTCATGGTTGCTGCTCTCCTTTGCTTCATGTGGGCAATGCTTTCAGCATTGGGATTATCAAACCTGCGCTATAGTGAAGCTGGAAGCTCTCGGAATATCATCATAGTTGGTTTATCTTTGTTTTTCTCCCTTTCAGTACCATCATACTTTCAGCAATATGGCATCTCTCCAAATACAAACTTGTCTGTCCCAAGTTATTTACAGCCATACATTGTGGCCACTCATGGACCATTCCGCAGCAAATATGGAGGGGTATGCATCTTATTAACTCCTATTCTTTATTAAATTTTTGGTTGGCATGTTAAAATCTTCTTGACGTTTTCCTAGAAAATATTGTGCCATTTTATCTTCATTATGTGTCATTTGCTTGTAGCGAAATGACAACTAAAACTTAGAAACATAAATTAGTTACTTTCTATGTTTTTTTTTAATGCGTTGCAGCATGATTGCATCTACCTTGAATCATTTCATCACAACAGTCTCTAAGGGGGCTACTACCTTTTGAGATAAAGATTGTTCGGATATATGCTTATTACTATATCATGATATCACAAAGACCTACTATTCTATGTAACTGTTATTTTTGCAGTTGTAGATTTTCGGATACATTAAAACACATTATTTGGTTGAATTTTCATTAGCTTTCCTTCTTTTATCTCGAAGCCACAAATTGATAGGCTCACCCCACCCCATTTTGAAAGCAAGTCTGAGATTCCCACTTCCCATGTTTCAACTCCAGTTTTGTTGAAAGTCTCTGATGAGAATTGTGCTCCAATCCTAATCTTTCCAACTAGACCATGTTTCCCATAAATGTAGATTACTTTCGTGACATCATTGCATATTCTCTTAACACTTTTGGTAATTATGTTTTTTTTCCTGTTATTCTTGCAGTTGAACTATTTTTTGAACACATCACTATCCTTGCATATGGTGATTGCGTTCATTGTTGCTGTTATCCTGGACAACACTGTTCCTGGCAGTCAGCAAGAGCGTGGGGTCTATGTATGGTCTGAAACTGAGGCAGCAAGGAGGGAGCCTGCCATTACGAAAGACTATGAATTGCCCTTCAGAGTTGGTCGGATTTTCAGATGGGTAAAATGGGTTGGACTGTGAGACACAAGGCTTTTAGTTGGTACGTGGCCATTGTCACATAATCTAAAGCTCATCGGCAGCCATTCAGAGAGGATGATCAATAGAGCTGCCTTGCGATTCTAAATGTAAGGCCCTCTAGGCTCATATTGGTAAATAGCAGGCGACAAACTGATTTTTCCTACACGGCAGAGCCTTCTTGGGACTATAGGTTTTATAGAGATGAGATATCTGTGTACATTTGAGGATCCAGAGGGATCTGTTTGTGTTGTAACTTGAAATTATCAATGATGTATCTAGTTTTGAAACTTTGTCATTGAAATTTGTCTTAAGAGGGACTTTTTATGTTTGAAAGAACATTGATAATACAACACCCTCATTATGTATATTTTTTCCAATTATATTTTTAATCGCCTTTTTTCCCGAGTGCTAGATTTGAGATCATATACAACATATTTTTGGCAAGATGTACTAACCTTCACATGATTTGTCAAGTTGTTTCTGAAAATTAGTTATTGGTTCTGTTTGTCTGGCTTTATGTTGTATTTATAATTATCCTTTTAACATATAATTTCTATGAGATTTAGGAGCTAATCAAATTTTCTTCTTTTATGTTGTATTTATAATTATCCTTTCAACATATAATTTCTATGAGATTTAGGAGCTAATCAAATTTTCTGCCATATACAACATATTTTTGGCAAGATGTAATAACCTTCACATGATTTGTCAAGTTGTCGTTTTTGAAAATTAGCTATTGGTTTTGTTTGTCTGGTTTTATGTTGTATTTATAATTATCCTGTCAATATTTAATTTCTCTGAGATTTAGGAGCTAATCAAATTTTCTTCAATCATGATTTTGATGTCAAATTCTACTTGTGACCACTTCTCTATAATATGATGAACAAATATGCAGTGGACAATGTCTGTTTTCTTTTTGCTTTTTCGGAGTAAGCTTTTCAAGTTAAAAGGCAACAATAAACCCAACACCTTTGCCTAGTAGAAATTAAAAAAGGTTCTACTAGTAAATCTTCTAGAGCTTCATCGTATAAAAGAATTATATATTTGACTCCCTATCATTCATCAAACAAAGCTGGAATAGCTCAGTTGGCTAGAGCGTGTGGCTGTTAACCACAAGGTCGGAGGTTCAAGCCCTTCTTCTAGCGCGATGGTTTTTTTGTTTTTCCCTTTTTCACATATTTTCTGCGGGCCTTTCTCATACCATTTGAATTCACTTACCACGAGGATATGTCAAAACATCTTATACGTCTAAAGCACATCCTCTGGGCACGGCTACAGTTCTAGCCGATTTCTTCATGTCATTCTTGGGCAGGGTCGTGCTAATCTTCTCTCTATCGTTTCAATTTTATTGGCTACAGTTCTAGTCTGAACATAAAAAGAACAGCAGAAATCACTACTACAATAGCATGATGAGCAAAGGGGCTAGTCTTGAACCTGAGTTCTATCCTCCCTCCTTCTACCCCTCTTCCCATCATTTTTCCTAATTAATCAAGTGACTAGGAAACCTATACAAAGTTTAGTTAGCTACAACGTACATCTGTGTACATTTACAATGTAGAAGAAATGCAGCTATGTCTATATCGCTGCTGTTTTGTTCTAGCAAAACGCGGGGTACCTTCTGCATTGGATAAAACTTCGGATGACAATGTCAATATATGTCACTTGCTGATCATGAGTATGGCTGCAGCAGATCCACGTCCAGTTTATTACAAACAGAATGTCTTATTGTTAGCTATATATGGTGTCTCAGTCTCACCTCAATTGCTACCTAATATTCCTTTATTTTTAAAGCCCACTCGATCTCATTTCAAGGACCAACTTTCTGCATTTCCCTGACAGCCAGAAGCTGATGTATATGCATGGCAGCTTCTGCCTTGAATTCTCTAATTAATAGTTTTTGGAGAGGTGGTCCTTGAAATTCCGGCAATCTGAACATCAGCTAGGCCTAGGTGTATGCTGCTTCTGACTCAACGGGTACTTGCCTTTCAGTGCAGAAAATCCAATCCCAACAACCAACTTTTCAATTAAGATATCCCTGTAAAAGAATTTTAATTACTTCTTCTGTCCGAAATCGTTTCTTTTATTTTTTAACATACTTTGACAAAGTTAATATTTGTTATGCTATATGAGGATTTTTTTTTCCTTCTCATTTTTCTAAAACATTTTTTGTATGTTAAAATTATTTGTTATCAATTTTAATCATGCATTACAAGAAATCAATGCTAATTTAAGAAAAAAAAATATATTCAAAATTAAGGTGATAAATCAAAAGAAAAACCATTTAGTTAATTAAGAATTAAGTTTAAAACAACTATGAAAAAATAACATGCTCATAAAAATATTTTACACCCAAAATTTCAACATGGAGTAAAGTTCTTATAATAATGAATATCTTTCATGTAATAAAAAATTTTCTTTTGAAATTTTTATGTTAAAAATATTAGTATGTACAAAAAATATATATTTTTCATATAACAAAATCTGTATTTATGAGAAATTTTTTTTAAAGAATATTGATTTTTTATTAGTGAAGATCAGAAAATGAAAAAAAATGATTTTCTTTATGAATTAAGGATATTTTTAAAAAATACATTATTTAAAATTTTAATGAAACAAACATATTGAGATAGATATAAATAGAAATAACAAAAATACGAGTATTTAACTGTCTAAAAGTAGAAAAATCTTATTAATGGGATGAACAACTAATAAACTGGCAGATGACACCCTTGCTATTTTGATGCTGCTCCACTTAACATAGTTTTGGCACTTCTTAATCAATTAGTGCAAAACGACACCCAATTTTTTATTAGTGAAGATCAGAAAATGCAAAAAAAAAAAAAGATTTTTTTTTCTTATTGTATATGTTTGTTCAGTGTATGATTTCCACCATAGATATATTGGGATTCACGAAACGTGTGATTATGCAATTATTGTCTGGTTTAATATATTTTTTCCTAACCATAAACTAGGGTTAGTTCAACTTTTTGCATATAGTGGAAGGAATCGAGGGTGGCACTTTGTAATCATGTAGGTTCAAGGACATATCTTATTTGATTATATATATATATATATATAATTTTTTTTTTCCCTCCACCTTGAGAGGTAAGTGAAAGGTTTTGAATTAAAGAGCATGGTTTAAAATATGATAACTTAGATAACACATGGGGATATATATAATAATAACAAGGAAATCTGGAGCAAATCTCAAGGATTCCCAATTTAAGAGGAGCCATTTTGCTCTCTTTTATTAAACATGAACAAGCAAACATGGGGGCACATGCACAGACAGCAGTGAGCTTTTATGACCGCTGACTTGAACTCCTTAAAGACCATAGCTGTAGCTGGAGCTCTACGAAGGTTTACTGATATTTCTGCAAAATTACTCATGATTAGGGTCGTTAAGATCCATTTGACATTTAGGTATATTTTTCCTGAAAATTAACATTTTTATGACCTCCCATTTCTTACTAACTGTAAGTCTTCTCCTTGACAATCTATGCTCACATGCACGATTTCTTCCTATAACTATTTTTAGAAAACGAACACTAGTTCGTCAGGCTAGCGGATTCCACAAGAATCCAACGGGGGGCTTGTATTTTGTGACCTATGTAGGTTATCAATCTAATAATTGTTATTTCTGCAAGGTAGCTACAGATCCATGTGCCCTCCTCATTATAAGTTTCAACTAAAGATCAATTAGTTCTTGATAAACAATCTCACCAGTGAACAACGAGAAATAATTTATGGTGCCACTAACGGAAAGTTGGTTTTTACCTCAATCAAGATTAAGTTTTTATTTCTTAGACTAAGTCAACATGTATTACGTTTAATGTTGGATTGATTTTAAAAACTGAATTTTTTAAATTTTTAAATCCATCATCAACTTATGTTCAGTATCACACAAAAAGAGAACAAAAGATTATTTAAGAATGAGAATCAAACCTTTGATCTGATAACTCAGAAATACTCTTCTTAACACTCAACCTAGAATCTTTACGGTTGTTCGAAATCTTATTATTAACAACATGTGTGAGTTTTTAAATAGATCATGGCAAGTTCAAGTTCATCACGTGTTTCATGAAGAAAATAGTTGTGCTGATTAGTTTACGAGTTATGGTCATGAGTTTGATCTTGACCTCTATTTCAGGGATCCTCCTGAGGGTCTTTTTTTCGCTTCTTTTTGCTGATGTAATTGGGGTAAGTTTGCCGGGTAGTAATCGTTTATAGCCTCTTTTTTTGAGCTTAGGTTTCAATTAAAAAAAGAAAACTTCTACTGGTGAAGAAGAAAAATATTGTTTTTGAAGTTTTCGCTTTAATTAATTAGCGTGGATTTTACTCTTAATTATCGGTGAAGATAACTCAACAACGCAGCTTAAGCTAAGTTATTCAAACAGGCCAACAGGGTGGTACTGCTTCAGTTCTTCGAGATTCTTTGTTCAAAGAGACAATGCAACTTTTACAAAAAGGGGTTAGGATGCTCCAGTTTCTCATCAAACGCACGGATTAATTGGCAAATCAATGTTTATTCACAAAAATTGAAGTTCATTATTTTGATCGCTCACCTGTATGAATTGTTGAGCTTTTGAATCAAAGTATCATCAGCATAGCTATACCCCATAAGTGTCAATTAAAAAAAAAACTACGATTATTCCACTATTCAATTGATTTGTCATTCCTAGCTATATTTAACTTCTCTTGGCCAAAAATAGATTTTTAGTTTTTATTAACTAACCCCTTAACCATATCACCATAAAATCATAGCTGAAACACCTAAAAAAGTAGCTATTTAGAACACTATAGAAAAACTCATCATTTCTCTCATTTATCTGAACATAGACTGCTTGTAAGTTCAAAGAGTCTATTTATTAGAATCCATGAAACATTAAATATGAATCAAATCTGACCCCTCGAGCATTACGTATGCTTTAGCTTAGGTGTTCCAATATTTTGAGATATATTTCTTGTGTTTGTATTTACGTAGAGTATACTAATTATATAAC